CACTCGTGAGTACCACCACAGACAGCTAGACAAGCGGCCCAACGTCGTACAAGCTCTCCTTGAGGGTACTGTACGTGCTAGTCCTCGGTTCAAAATTCCTCCCCATGTTGTCAAGTATCTCAGTCGTACCTACGACGCATGGTACACTGCTGCTACCTACCTTGAACAAACTGCCATTAATCCCATCATTGACACGCCCACTGTACGCGAAAGCAACCTCGATGCCCTCGTTGAGGTTTACGCAGGCCTCCAAGAGGACGACTTCTTCTACGGAACCTGGCGCCGTCGTTGCAAGTTTGTTGAAACTAATGCCGCGCTTTCTTACGAACAACAAGGAATGTGGGACAAGTCTCAACAACTTTACGAGAACGCCCAAATAAAGGCCCGTTCCGGCGCCATGCCATTCTCGCAGGGTGAATACTTTGTCTGGGAGGATCATTGGCTGATCTGCGCCCAGAAGCTCCAGCAGTGGGAGATTCTGAGCGACTTCGCCAAGCATGAGAACCTGAACGATCTCTTGCTGGAGGCTGCTTGGAGGAACATCGAGAACTGGCAGAGTGAAGGTAACCGCGAGCAGCTTGAGTCATTGATCAAGTCTGTATCCGACGCTCCAACTCCTAGACGCACCTTCTTCCAGGCCTTCATGGCTCTTCTCCAATACCACACGAAGAAGGACAATATCCAAGACTTCAACAGCGTTTGCGACGAGTCTATCCAGCTCTCCATTCGCAAATGGCTTCAATTGCCGAAGCGCATCACCAATGCCCACATTCCAATCCTGCAGCACTTCCAACTCTTGGTTGAGCTGCATGATGCTAGCCACATCTGTAGCAGCTTGGCTCAGACAAATGAAAGGAACTTGGATACCAAGTCCGCCGAACTCAAGCTGCTTCTCGGAACCTGGAGAGACCGTTTACCCAATCTTTGGGATGACATCAACACATGGCAAGATCTCGTCACCTGGCGTCAACACATCTTCCAGCTTATCAACGGCACCTACCTCAGTCTCTTGCCCCCTCAGACCAATAATGTGGCCAGTAACTCTTACGCCTACCGCGGATATCATGAAACAGCCTGGATCATCAACCGATTCGCCCATGTGGCTCGAAAGCACCAGATGCCAGAGGTCTGCATCAACCAACTCAGCCGTATCTATACCCTTCCAAACATTGAAATTCAAGAAGCCTTCCTCAAGCTTCGGGAGCAAGCGAAGTGCCACTACCAGAATCCGAAGGAGCTGAACAGCGGGTTGGATGTGATCAACAACACTAACCTCAACTACTTCGGGCCGCAGCAGAAGGCCGAATTCTACACACTCAAGGGCATGTTCCTCGCCAAGCTTGATCATGTCAATGAGGCCAATGAGGCCTTTGGAGTTGCTCTTTATTACGATCTCCGCCTTGCTAAGGCTTGGTCTGAGTGGGGACAATACAGTGATCAGCGCTTCAAGGCTGATCCGACTGACTACGAGCTGGCTAGCAACGCTGTTAGTTGCTACCTAGAAGCGGCCGGTCTCTACAAGAGTGCGAAATCCCGGAAACTACTCAGCAGAATCCTCTGGCTCCTGAGTCTGGACAACGACGAAGGAAAGATCGCAAGTGCGTTCGAAAACTTCAAGGGAGACACCCCGGTCTGGTACTGGATCACTTTCATCCCTCAACTTCTTACCAGCTTGTCGCACCGGGAGGCGCGCCTGTGCAAGGCTGTCCTGGTAAAGATCGCCAAGTTGTACCCACAGGCTCTCTTCTTCTTACTTCGTACGAACAGAGAGGACATGCTGAGCATCAAGAAGCAGCATGACCAGAAGCAAGAGAAGTTGAACCGGGCTAGACAGCAGCAGCAAGGGTCCTCGCCCAGTACGAAGCCAAATTCTGTTGCTGGTGCCGAGAGCTCTCCTGCCCAGAAATCCCAGCCTGCGGCTGCATCGACCAATGTATCCCCGTCGGTTCCGCCTGCAAACTCATCCGCCATACAGAATCCAGCTCAAGCACAAAGCCAGTCTCCCGCACAGCCACAAAACCCCATGCAGACATCTCCACAAGCCGGCCAAACTCCGGGCCAAGCGCAGCAAACTCATCTGCAAGTCCCAGGTCAGACCGGAACACCCCAACAGAACCAGTCTGCACCCGCGGATGGTGAGAAGGAACCTCTGAAGAAACCCTGGGAGTACTCAGACGAAATCATGTCTGGACTCAAGACGGCTTTCCCCTTGCTTGCTCTCTCTATGGAGACAATGGTCGACCAGATCCACAAGAACTTCAAGTGTCCCCCCGACGAGGATGCTTACCGACTCATTGTTGCTCTCTTGAACGATGGACTGGCCTACGTGGGTCGCATGCCTGGATCTTATGCGCAAGACTTCAAGTTGCCTGCCGCAACAGAAGCCAACATCACTCGATTCGCAGAGACCATTCTCCCAGCTCACATTCGCAAGTCATTTGAAGCGGACTTTGTGACCAAGAAGCCGACCATGAACGAGTATATCCACAAGCTGCGGCGCTGGCGTGACAAGTTCGAGGAGAAGCTTGATCGCAGATCACAGCACACATTCCTCGAGAACTCTTCACCTCATCTGAGTGAGTTCCGGTTCCTCAAGTTTGACGAAGTTGAAGTTCCCGGCCAGTACCTACTCCACAAGGATAAGAACCAAGATTTTGTCCGCATCGACCGTTTCCTTCCCGATGTGGACCTCATCCGAGGTATTGGTGTCTGTCATCGTCGCTTGAAGATCCGCGGACACGACGGCAGTATGCAAGCATTTGCCGTTCAGCATCCCGCTGCCCGCCACTGCAGGCGCGAAGAACGTATTCTTCAACTGTTCCGGATCTTCAATGGTCTGCTTGCAAAACGCAAGGAGAGTCGCCGCCGCAACTTGTACTTCCACCTGCCGTTGATGGTTCCTCTAGCGCCACACATTCGGTTGGTGCGCGACGATTCCTCGTACATCTCTATGCAAGGGATTTACGAGGATTACTGCCGCCGCAAAGGCATCAACAAGGACGACCCCGTTCTCTTTACAATGGACAAGATGCGGTCGCTGGCAGAAACGAAGCAGAACGTAAGTGTGCCCTCCATCTTTCATATAACAAAGTCTAACAATTCCCAGCGCACGCCCGATCAGCAACAGGTCCTTCGCACAGAAATCCTAACCGCGATTCAAGACAAATGGGTCCCGAGTACCGTGGTGTTGGAGTACTGCCAGCAGACATACCCCAACTTCTCCGACTTCTGGCTCTTCCGTCGTCAATTTGCCTACCAATACGCAGCGATTGCTTTCATGACCTACGTTATGCACATTGGCAACCGATACCCGAACAAAATTATGATATCTCGTTCAACGGGCGATATCTGGGGTGCCGAATTGATCCCCACCATCAACCCGGCCAAGGCGTTCTTCTACAACCCAGAACAAGTCCCCTTCCGGTTCACACCAAACATCCAGACACTTCTGGGTCCCATTGCGACGGAGGGTGTGTTCGCCTGTGCAATGATGGCAATTGCCCGCTGCCTGACCGAGCCGCGACACGAACTGGAGCAACAGCTCAGCGTCTTCGTGCGCGACGAGATGATGTTCTGGGCCACGGCTCATCACCGCGGTGTCCTACCCCCTGGACAACTCCGCGACCTGGTCTACAACAACAGCGAGATCATCGTCAACCGTGCTGTCAGTCTTGCCAGCCCGCCAGAGGGCAACTTGCCTGCCAATCAGACCACCATCGATCTGATCTCCAAGGCAGTCAACCCTCAGCACCTGGCGTCGTGCGATGCATTATGGATGCCGTATTTGTGATCAATGCCTGTTGTCGGTTTGCGTGTTTCTGTCCCGCCACTTGGCGGTGGGAACTTCTTGTATGGCTATTGTGTTTTCTGAAGTGGTGGGTTTCGTCTCTGGGTCTGTTTTTTTCTGAGCGTGGGCGCTTCGGTGAGGTGCGCAGCTTTTTATGTTACTATGATTGTGATACCGGACTTTTTCTTGTTTTAATACCTTCTACAATGTCTTTGATAATTCGGAATATTACCTAGCTCTGATATTTATTAATGTTTGCATTCACTTAATTGTCATTTGTGAATTGATGACAGACCGAAATCTAACCTAGACCCCCCCAAGATTCCGCCTACTGATCCTTCTGCCTTCCGAGGGACCTTCGAAAACTACTATGGGAACAGCTCTACGGTAGAAGATACGAGTGAAAGTGAAAGATAAAAATTGTAATTTGATAGGCCTGGGTAAATCCTCGCTTCAACTCCGTGCCCATAAAACAATCAAAGGCGTTATTGCGAAGGAACTTATTCCTTGCTGGGGTTGGCGTCGCGCTTGGAGTCAGTCTCGGTGTCGGTCTTGGCACTGTGAGTGGCAGCGGCATAAGGGTTGGCGCCAGGATGTAGTTCTGGCAAAGAGAGATAGAGAAGTAAGGTTGATTCCTACAGATCTGCAAGGAGATCTACTTATGTAGGTGGCCAGTACGGGCGATTAAGTAACTTATGCGACCGGCACATAACTAATGTGGAATTTACTGAGGAAAGGTTTATGGAGAAACCAAGCAGTAGAATTCGTAATGATGAAAGTGGACAGAGAGAAAGAGAGAAACTATCTACAGGTAACTATGGATCTGTCTCATTGTGGGTCTATGTGCCTTAGACACCCAGGCACCCAGGCACCCAGGCACCCAACAATAACTCTGTCATTGGTTATTATGGGGGCAGTTTGACATAAAGGCGGTGTAAAATCTCGAAGACGGTGTGGAGAGCGGTAGGCAGAATAAAGCATCAATCCAGTGTAGCACCCGATGTAGAAGGCGGTGACTGAATTTTCAGGCAGGGCGTGTGGGTAACGCAACAAACTCCTAAGAATATCTAGGAATAATCCTCTACACTCGCAATGGGGCGTTCTATGGTTACGAAGTAGGTATAGAGTGGAGGAGAAAACTCATTAATAAATCATTAATCATTCGTTTCATTAAGAGTATTGACGGTCAAATTGGCCTAGAGCCCAATGTCCCTTAGACGGCTGAACTGTCGTCTCGGTTGGCGCTGGGGGTAGTCAAAGCCTTCGCCTTAGCCTCAGCCTCCTTAGCTTTAGCCGCAGCCTCCCTGGCCTTGCGAGCGCGCATCCTTTCACGGGCAAGAAGACGCTTCGCATGCATGTCCGCCGCATACTGCGCCTGAAAAGCCTTACGCTCCGCTTCCTCTCTTTCGATTTGGGCGTCCAGGGCTGCCGACTTTGTGGCACGCTGCTTTTCCCGGAACTCCTCAAGAGCCTTTCGATCCTCTTCTTCTTCGGCCTTGGCGCGGCGAAGGGCCTCCTCGTCGATCTGCTGCTGAACAGTAGCCATAGCAGCCTTGTCGCCGCGGGTCTCGGTGCGCTCCATGCGGGCGTTACGGGTGCGAATTCCATCAATGGCGTCAGCGATTTCCATCTCGCGCTTGGAGTCGTGCATCTTGTCTTCGAGGTCGGCCATCTTGTCTCGCTTGAGTTGCTCTTCCTCCGCACCGTGTTCCTTCTCGAGGCGGTCAATGGTCTGCTCCTCAGTCTCGTCCTTGTACTTGTCGGCTGCGTCGTCGCGCCAGACTTCGAAGTTGCGGGTTGCGCCACGCTCGCACCGATAGTCGCGATCTAGTAAAGAATGTTAGTTTTGATAGGGGAAAGTGGGGAAATGATTTAAAACTTACTCTTGGGGTCGGTGCAGAAAGTTATCTCGCCGCTGCATCCAATGCAACGGATGTAGAAGCGGTACACCAGACTGCCCATGTACTTGTCCTCGGCGAGCTCCTTCCGTGAGTTAAACTTACGACCCTTCGGAATGTGCTGGCCACAGTGAGTGCATCTCATCGAAAAGGGTGTCATCAGACGGATGGTGGCCACCTTGGCCTCGGCCTTTCCATCTTTTCTAGAGCGCTTCTTCTGCTCAATCGCAGATGGATCGAAGTCGGGTGGGTAATACTTCGAGAGAACCTTTCGTTCAGCCATGTTGCTGTTATCGCGAACAGAATTGGAAGAAATCGGAGACTGGGAGAACGATGAGTGGGAGAAGTGGAAGAGTGGAAGAGTGGGAGATCGACAACAAACCTGTGGGCCCTGCGGCAAAACAACTTGCCGCGCGACCTCTTCCCGCGGGGGCTGCGCGGGCTCGGCGGCAATAGTCACGTGTTCTGGCCAAAGCAAACTCTCCCTCCGGACCCGCTCGAGGACTTTAGCGACGGAGACGTCTCCACCGCCCATTGCTATTCGATAACGCCGCAACGATAGCGATAGCGATAACGTTCGATACCGATAACGTTCGGATCGATAAGGATCGATGACGTTGTCGAGTTTCGAGAGGTCGAAAAGTCACGTGGGGACTCAGTCTTGGGGAGTCTCGTCACCTGTCTCGTCATCTTAGGCCCACTGCGCCTTGCGCCTTCCATTGTTGTTCTTTCATCACATGCCATTCTTCAACCTCGAACTAGTTACCTAGTTATAATCCAAATACAAGTACTACTATATAATCTCAGATATCAGCGTGATTAAATGGTTCAGGCATTTCATATGAGCCATAATATACGTTGAAGGAGGTTATTTAATGTTAATTAAGTGCTTAGCATTGTCTATGGCCTAGTAACTATATAACTACCATTCATTGCAGTGACAATTGGAGGGCCGAGTGCCAGGAGGTTCCGTGGCCGAGTGCCCAGGTGGGTAAAAGCTCTTATGTAATCTTCAAAGTGGAGCCATGATTAGATGGGAGCAAACGGGAAGTCACGTGGGATCTGAATTACATCGGACGAAACAGGAAGTCACGTGGGATCTATACTCGACTTGTACATTTCGTCTGACAGAGTACAACGGGAAGTGTGTTGGTATTGACAATATCATCTTATGTGGTTTGATCAAGGCAACCCTTCTATCATTTTAATCCGATACATGTCCTATAAGCCAAACACCTTTTGTACATACAACATAGCAACGTAGTTAACAACTTAGTTACTTGACCTTCCCGCATCAGAACTACGCACGGACCACTGTTTGGTTCAAAAAAAAAAACAATAGGGCAAGGACCCCCATGCGGAAGTTGCTACTTGCATTGCTTGGATATCGCCCGCTTCTAACAGGAATCTCTCCATGTCTGTTGTCTCGGTGAAGCTATTCCTTAACTCGCCGCATCCGTCGATATGGAAAGGTTCCTGCGCTCCTGGCGACAGGACGCGTTAAACCGTGGCCAGCATGATTCCGCAATCTACATTGGGGACAAAGTCCTGGCGCTTACCAGTAAGGAATAGAAGCACCGTGGATATTCAAAATGAATACAATGGATACTAATTTGCTGGCAAAGACAGTGACTCTGACGCCTTTTGGCTGGCTCAGGTACACTTCTCGAATAACAACTTCACACGCGCCTTGGCCCTTCTGTCCCGCAAAGATCTCGTTTCTCGAAGCACCGCCTGCCGTTATCTTGCTGCGCACTGCTACATAAAACAGAACCAATTTGAACAAGCCCTCTCCATTCTTGGCGAACACAACCCCACAGACCTCATCCGTAACCACCATACCCGCCGCAAGACCCAACATCAAAGCCATGTCACATTGCGCAATGGGAGGAGTGCGACGCCGCGGAGTGATCGAGCTGAGGAGCGAGAACGCGAGGATGCCAACAATGTGCGGTTTGAAGCCGCCATGTGTTATTTACGGGGACTCTGCTTTGCCAAGCAGAATGCATTTGATCGTGCGCGAGACTGTTACAAGGATGCTGTGCGGATTGACGTACAGTGTTTTGAAGCTTTTGACCAGCTGATGAAGAACTCTTTAATGTCTCCCACGGAAGAATTAGAATTCCTTGAATCACTAGACTTCGATTCCGTCTCCCCCCCCGATCCCATGATGGCACAAGAGGCTGCCCACTTTACGAAGATGCTGTACACGACGCGTCTATCGAAATACTCCTCCCCTACCATACTCTCCGACGCCACTGAAACCCTATCCACACATTATAATCTTGCAGAGAACCCCGATATCCTTTTATCCCGCGCGGAAGCTCTGTACACGCAATGTCGGTTTGCTGAAGCTTTGGAATTGACCTCCTCTATCCTCTCCACATCTCAATCAACCGACCTGGCCTCCACAAATCCCAGTATTCCTGCACAAAACAACCTTGGCCATGCCCCAGCCATTTATCCGCTCCACTTAGCTTGCCTTTACGAGACCGGTGCCACCAATGCCCTATTCTTACTCTCTCACATGCTTGCGGATCACTCCCCCGAGGAGCCTTACACATACTTGGCAATCGGAGTGTACTATCTGTCGGTATCAAAGGTGGCTGAGGCGCGACGCTTCTTCTCGAAGGCCTCACTGCTAGATCCGCATTCGGCACCGGCTTGGATTGGATTTGCGCACACCTTTGCCGCCGAGGGTGAACACGATCAAGCCATTGCAGCGTACAGCACTGCTGCTCGCCTTTTCCAAGGCAGCCATCTTCCCCAACTCTTCTTGGGAATGCAACATCTCGCCCTCAATAACATGTCTCTGGCGCACGAGTATCTATGTGCTGCTCATGCCATGTCGACTGGAGCTGCCCCCGGCTCTGTCCCTTCCCTCACACCTAATCCCTCCGGTATTGTCTCGGCAGTCGGCGGAGACCCACTAGTTCTCAACGAGCTTGGAGTGGTCTTTTACCATCAGAATCATCTTAGCGGCGCCATTGAACTGTTTGGGCAAGCACTAGCCCTGGCTACCTCTCTCCACTGCGAACCCAGTGCCTGGGTGGCTACACGTGCAAACCTAGGTCATGCCTTGCGTCGCATGGGCCGTCTGTCCGAATCCCTTCGTGAATTCGATGAATGTCTCCGTGTGGGTGCGGGAGGGAGCAGCATGGGCTACTCGCCATTTTTGGGTGGTGGAACGGGTGGCTCGGCCGCGATCGCTACCGCATCTGGGGTTGGGGGCTACGAAGATCGCGGGCTGACGGGTTCTCTTCATACGTCTCGTGGCCTTGTGTTACTGGAATTGGGACGAACCACTGACGCGGTGACTGCCTTGCATGAGGCCGTGCGTGTACTTGGGGCGAGTGGCGGCGGTGATGCAGCCGGAGGTGCCGGTGTGGCGGGCACATTACTTTCACGTGCACTCGAGCTCTGGGCCTTAGAGGGGCGACAGAAGGACCGCACGGCTTTCGAGGAGAGTATGCGAGAAGCCAGTGCAGCCTCCTCCAAGCGTCGGGGATCTACTCGATCTCGTGAACAGAAGGGGAAAGAGCGAGTCGCCCCGGAGGAGATGTCTCGACGACGTGGACGTCAAGAGCCCTTTGTGGAAGGGTGGACGGAGGAGGCGGCTCATGTCACCACGGCCCCGGCTGAAGGTGAAAAGGTGGAAATGGACCTCGACGACGAAGCTGATGGACTTTTGCGCCGAGCTCTTGGCCGTGTACGACATAGCCGACAACGTCGACCCGCAGTACCTGCTACTCCGGATATGGATGCCAGCCAGACAGCTGCTCCATCCAGTCGCAGTCGTGGAACACGACATGGGCGGAGTCACTCTGGACAATGACGAAGCTTGGGAATCCTCTCTAGGTGACATTTTGCGTTATTTCACATGCATTGCGGGCGTTTCTAACGAAGGAAAATTGGCTAGGGGGTTGGGAAATTGGTTTTTTTTTTTTTTTTTTTTTTTTTCCCTTTCTTCTTTTGTAATGCTATACTGCATGCTCATACTAGATGATCAAGCTGACATTGTTAGAGGCATTGCTTATACTTGTCTCTAGTTTAATTCATTACTGTGATTATGTTTCTTCCCACTTTAAACACTCTTTAGACTACTATATCAAGACAAACATCAAGCCATTCCTAGATCACCATGACAACCTCATTTCCAATTCGCCTGCAACGCGGCTTGTCGCTTCTCTGCGTTGTAACCGCATTTAGCTTCAGCGCCATCATCGTCATTTGGTTTGGCATGAATTCCGACAGATAATAAATTCACCCCCGTCCTCACCCAGTTAATCCCCGCCGGACACTACGCCTTCGAATTCTTCACTACCTTCCAATGCTCGACATCTCTCACCTGTCCGAATCTGGTCTCACCCCGGTTGTTAAGCGAATCGAAAGGATAGATATCCCCTAGTTAGTCTGGCGGGGTAAGTAGGGCGATGTTAAGTAGGTTGATTGGAACACGCGTTCGAGCGTCCTTAGGATAGAAGATTATTGCGTATATTGAAGGTCAGTTTGATAATGTTGGGGTTTTTTTTCTTTTAATTCTCCTATTGCGACTTGGATATCTCAACTAACCATACGCACTATTTAGGCTCTTATTCGGCTTTATTAAAATACCGACAGGTTTGCAATACCTGACATCTACAAATCGACGATAGATCTATCCGGTTACTTTCTTTTAGAGGAACTTAGCGGTCATTCGATCATATTTGGATGTTGATCCAACATTCCTTGGGTTATGGAGTGGTTGTGCTTCCTTGCCTCATTCTAGTCCACTACCACTCTTTTAGGGCTTTATTTCACATCGATCACCATCAACCAGTACGACTCGGTCTCTTCACGCCGAAGAGTCCAATTCAGTCAAAATAACTCGACAGCCCAACGGCGCGAGAATCCCACCCTGTTCAAATCAGCATACATCATCAAAGCTCACCAGATGAGACAACATACCGGCGTCATCTTCAACCGATACTCAGGATCAACAACCCACCTAACCCTCCCCAACAAGACAAACAACAAAATCTTCACCTGCAACAACGCAAATCCCTGCCCAAGACACTTCCGCTTATGGGCATTAAATGGAATATAAGTTCCCCGAACCGTTTCCCTCCGAAACCGCCCCTGCATTTCCTCGACAGTATCCCCCCCACCTCTCTGCCCGGAACTCCTGCGCATCAGGACCCCATACATCGGGGTTACTATGCACTGCCCACGCATTCCATCCCACAAACGCGCCCGCGGGGATAGGGAAGTTCTCCACCCAGTAGCGCAGGCTGTACCGCGACTCGGTTAATGAGCTGAGATACAGGTGGGAAGAGACGAAGTAGTTCCAACACCACGGCCGTCAGGTACGGGAGATTGTTAATGACTTCCTGTGATGGATTCGGATGGGTCTTTGCTGTACTCAGGATCTCCTCCCGTAGTCGATCTTGGATATCGACTCGTGTCCCCAACTGCCAGAACATCGAGGTGACGAGTTGCTGCGCGTTTTCGTGCGCCGTTAGGAAGGTTATCTTGAGATTATCCCGGAATTGTTTCTCGGTTATTCGCCCCGATGTGTATGCTTCCCCCAGCATGTGCGAGACCATTTCCTTTTCCTCGCTCTGTGGGGGTTTCTCTTGTGTGCGCTTTTGGAGCATGTTCATTATCATTGCGTACAGTCGGTTGTCGAATTCGCGCATTATTTGATACGCGCGTTTGCGTGAAGGTAGGAGCCAGGGGAAGTGGTCGAGATCCGGGAAACTGAAGTACATTGGTTTGAAGAGGGTTGCTTTGATTATAGATTGGATGGATTCGATTCGGACGGCGCCATTGGGTTGGCCCAAGCTCTGTCAGGGGGTTGGTTAGTATTTATTCAACTGTAGCATTTCTGGATTGGAGATTGGATGTTCATTTCAGGTTGATGGTGATTGTTGATACCTTGAAATCCAAGTCCAAGAAATTCTCGCCCATCACATCAACAGCCCATTTCTGTACATCTGCCATAATCAAAATGCCTTTGTTGGGTCCAGTCTCTTTCTGCTGATCAATCAAGATATCAACCAACTTCCTCGACTGTTTCAGCAAAGAAGTCGTCTCAAAAACCTTCTTCTGCAATCCAGCCTTCATGATACCAGTGTAAAGCCTCCAATTCTCTCCATGGGCATTGATGATATTATCACCGACCAGCGTTGCAATAACAGCATGCGGGATCTTAATCTGACTCCCTGCTTTTGCATATATTTGTTCATTTCGAAACATATCAGTTAACCAATCCGGTCGTGAGACGAGAACACTCCATCGTCCTCCGAACCAGACTAACACGGCGCCGTGTTTTCCTAGTGGGGCCCTGAACCAGCGCTCATAGATCTCGTCTTGGCCCATTGAGGACCAGAGGCCGAGGATTGAGACGTAGATTGGGATTTTGGGGAGGTTGGGGAGGTTTCGGGGGACGTGAAGGTACCATGTCAGGAAGAGGAAGGGTGGGAGGAGGAGGGCTAGGAGGGTATAGAGGAGTATGGAGAATAAGGCCATGGTGGTGATAGGTTTGAGGGATTTCGTAGAAGCAAGAATTAGAAAGGTTAGGGAATGGATTTTGATACTCTCTTGCTAGTACTATATAAAAAGTTGGGTGTCTACTTGGGGCTCCGTGCCCTGATGCACCTGGTGTCAGCGGAAGTCAACACACTTGTTCTGATGTCACACTGTCCACCGTGGCTATCTTTGGATAGGTTTCTGCTGCGTCTTACTACTAAGTGGCTTTCGTTGAGGGATAGGTTAGGGTTCGGTATATTGGATTTGGAAAGTGGCACCCGAGGCTTCTATATATACTGTAGAGTGCTGAAGGTTAAAATGTATATCAAGACCCAGGAGAAAGAGAACAGATGAGTTGCAGTCCTATATATAGTAGTATAATTTCCCCTCCAACGAAGGTTATAGGATGAGGATGTGGGCATACACCTCCCTTTGACTCAGTGATTCTTCATTGATCATTAGAGGAATAATTGACCACTTAGGCAGCCTTGTCATGTCCTTTTTGTAGTCTGTCTTCTTAGATAGTCTTCTCTCTCTTTTCCAGCTGTCTTTTAAATGCTATCTTTCTAAGATATTAGTGTTTAGGTAGAATATAGGTGCCTACAAGGGCTCAAAATGTGCAAAACAACTTTTCTTTTTTATGATAGTGACTAGAATAGGTGCTGGAATATTATATCCATTGGGTCGTCTACCACATAGAATGAGAATCTCGATGTTTAGGTAATGCTATTCAAGTGAGAAATTATCTCCATTCTTCCATAGATGCAACAGCCTCAAAAGCAGAGTTGAGATGCAAGTCAAAATCCAAATGATACTAAGAGTCGAGAAGTGATATGATATGCACACGTTATTCACAACCCCCCAAAGTTTTGTGATATGGTGGCGTCCCTAAATTCCTGCCACAAGGGTAGCAGACAGCGAGAACCCATAGAATACAGTAGCTACCATGGCAATGGCATTCAAATGGATAGCCATTGCGTGATTTCGTGCGAAATTGCGGTTAGCCCGATGCACATTGGACCCATGGGCGTCAGAATCGGTATTCTCGCTTTCTGTAGGTGGGGTGAAATGTTAGCCTAGCCGTATAGTTGCAAGATGAGGCATATCCAGGTAAACGTAAACCCACCTTGTAGTGCCCTTCTAACCAACGTTGCAGTTGTCGTCCGAGGCCCGTATATGAACCAATTCAAGCACCCGGTCAAACCAACAATAGCAAGAGGAGCTGCACTCCATGGGTCTCGGATCAGTGACAAAATACTGTACGGTGGGTGTGTTGCTGCCGTCAACGCTGTGAGTCCGACTTGTGTTCCGAAATAGACGGGGAAAAGGCGCTTTTGAAGGAGGATGAACTCCTTCATTGGCAAGGCTTGGTAACATATTTTTGTATTGACAAAGCTCTGTATTTGGTTAGTCACGAGGTCGCTTGTTTGTGGGATAAGAGTGGTACCTACCTGGTAGAGCTCTGTTCCGAGGAGAGCGCCATAAGACAGAAGATGATATGGGAGAAGATTGCCCACTACGTCGAGAAAGGCCTCCATTCTGTCAAGATGTGATGATAGAATGAAAGTGTGTGGTGACTGGGAGAGGCGAAGATGGTAGAATTGGAGAAGAGTGGTACTATTGGGGGACCCGGCTGTTTACGGAATTCTTGGCGGCTTACTGGCTGAGATGCCAACAAAGTCAAGGCTGGTGAACGTTGGTTTTAATTGTCTTCACTTGGATGTTGATTGGTTGTAGTGGTATTTTATGGATATTGGCTTATTCCCCATACATTCTACTATAACATGAATATTATATGCTGAATTGCTTCACATTACACTCATAGTTGGGCTACACAGATCACTTTCTATTTCAAGTTCAACGCAATGTAGACCAAATGTAGACAAAAAATTATAAATCACTTGCGGGATAAAGCATCTCTCACACACAGTTACACAAAGAGATTTGCGTTCCAGAATGCAATTCAGCGACAAACGAAACCGGATCTTCCGCTTTCTACGGCTGGATCTCACATGCATATATATCCCGGGGGGATTGGAAGAGCGGTCAAAGTAGCACCACCTAGCAGTTAGCTAGGTTCATGAAAGAAGTTCATTCACACTCTAAGCTGTTGGACTAAGAATGGGAAATCAGTCCATCTATGACGCAAATGCATAAATGACTCCTTTGGGAGGTACTCAACACTATAGTCCCGAGCTATTAAACCAAGAAGAATTGAGAACAATTGAGTACAATTTGAGAAGGTAATGTGTCCTCACCAAAGCCCAGAGCAAAAGAAGGTATAAGACAACCGGTTTGGGTCAACCCCCGGAGTATATCCAGCGTGAGCTCATTCTTCTTGCAGGAAGGGGCCATGGCCTAACATGTCTTATTTTTAGACTTCACATTGAAGGTTGTACTAGCGGTGATAGCCTCGCCACTGATAGCCTGTCACCATGGCCCTGGTCCCCCTGTCCTTCTATGAACTGTTGATGAGTGTGGTCCGGGGACAGATAAACCCCAATAGGAGATCATCTGTCTGGTTCATTCTCAGCTTGAACACAAGATCATGGCAATTGCCCTTGCCACGTGGGTCCGTGTAATCAGGTAGTATAAAGGCTGAATTCGGGGATGTCCGCGTCTACAACAAGATACTTTGACACCTACATGTGATTTGAAGTATAAGTAGGCGGGGGATCATCCAAAAGTACCGGGGGTAAGTAGGTTACCACTGAGGGTAAGGTAGCACGGTCTTGCCACGTCAAGGGGTCCAAAACAGGTTGTTGGATTCCGACGCTCGAGTCTTTGAGCCATCGAGGTGGATCCAAGCTGAGGGTTTCATGGGGTTTTGCTGAATCCCAGACTGTTGGAACAAAGGCATGGAAGAATCCAGGGCAGCGCCATGTCCACACATATGTCCAGACCGGGGATAGCCTCTGATTACACCACCTCGTACGACCACCCTGAAACCTTCTCCCAGAATGCCCAATTCTGCATAAGAGCTTTTTCTACAAGGAGTCGACAAGCTGAGAAGGGCAGGTAGTTTAACATGGCCAGACCATATAGCATCACGCGGCTGAAAAGGCGGAGATTGAACCAGTGGCTTTCAGACCGAATCATTGATCACCGAAGATCCGTTGTACAGGCTGCGTCACACAGTGAGATCAGGCGCGACTTTCCCTCGTGGGCGCACGGCCTGTATAAAGCAAAGGGAGGCTGACGGCGATGGGGTCTTTTGTTACTGAGTTTCCGCACTGAACGCTTGGAGACTCGAAACTTCTACCGAAACAACTTATATGAGATATGCAGCATCCTCGAGTACGATAGTATCCGTTCAACCCTATAACGCAGCACAACAACATTCTACAAGTTGACGATGAAAGAGCAGTCTAAGAGTCCTAAGGACGAGGATATCCTCAATCAAACACAAGATCCGCTGGAAAGAAGGAGACTGCAGAACCGCCTTTCTCAAAGGAACCACCGTAAGATATTGCCACAACCAGAGAAGATAAGTCTGTAACTGACAAAGCCTAGGTCGCAAGATCAGAGAACGCATTGAAAAACTTCAAGAGCGCGTCATAGCCAACGAACTCAGAGCTGCTGCTGCTCTCAACGGATGGGACCAGACATATAACCCATCACTATTCCCAAGGTCTCACTCATCTTCAGAGAATGAGCTCGGGTTCACCTCGCGAGATGTGTCCCCTTTAACCCCAGACCAATGTACTTCATTCATGCCATCATATCCCCCGTTCTCGCAGCCCTGGCCAAACGACCTGAACACATTCCCCCAACACGTGTATCCCGGCGATCTTTCCCAATTTACCGGAGTCAGTGAAGCAAGTCCCATGACTCCTATAACAAGTGCCCCAGCACAGCCAATCCACAGCATGTCACCACCCAGCTCTGGTATCACCGGTGATACATACCGGGAAATGATAGGTACCCCGGAGACCTTGATACCAGACTCCCTGTTTCCATCAGAGCCCAATCAGCCGCTGTACTACGTTGCCACTGGTCAGTACCCCAACTACATGATGTAGAAGTCATCATTTGAACCAACCAACTAACAAAAAGCAGAAGAGGCATTGCCTCAAATCATCCAGGTTATCAACACCATGTCTCCACAATACAAAGTGATTGTTCTGGTTCCTCCAGAGTCCCCAGCATCGGCTTCTATAGCTCCATTCCCTTCATCAACCTCACCCTACGGTCCTGGTCATAATGCTTCAGAGCAGGGCCCTCCATCACAGCAGTCTAACTCACAGAATATCGGTTGTCTATGTCATACCCACACTGTCCATTCTGGGAATTCTGCACAATCCACTTCAAGGCCATGGACGGGCGGGGGGTCATATCCGCAAGTGTGTCCTTTGCACAAGACGGTAAATGCAGTCCCGCCAAGGGGAGGCTTTCCTGTTAGGATGATGTGAGTCTACTGTGGTCTTGTATAAAGATAGAAGTGGTAGAGCAGGGGTCGACATTGGGATATACACAAAGGGCGGCCATGGACGAATTGTGCATATATCATGACTTTTACTGTCTAGACAGCAATCTACCTTTTACCTAAACTGACTATTGAACGAGGGGTGCCAGACAGTAGCGGGCTAGAAGTGAAACTATTGGGTTAACCGAATCGGAACATTTCCCCGAGAGGAACTGACCCGGAGCATCTTGGGAGGAAAGCAGTATTTTGTGCTGGGAGACCTGAAAGGGTACCAGTGAAAGTAACCCGTCTGTCCAGTTGTTCAAACATCATGATATCATCATGATATCTGCTCCTCCTATACTGCATAAAGTCCTTCATAGTATCGCTGCACCACAGCCGCCCCCGAGCAACTTTTCATTTGTTGCCTGTATAACAACAAGCCGGGAAGTGATCAGTGCAGCGGACCCATTATCTTTGACCTCCAAAATATCATGCAGCGATTGCCCTTTTTGAATTGCCTTGCGGCTAATAAGCTCAACACAGCATCTCTCAGGCGGCGGTAGCGTTAGCGTGACCTTAACAACACTACCAGCCTCATCGAGAGAACTCGCCAAGCTCTGGTGGACAGACCACTGCGTCGCACTTGGGTCTTTATATTGATACTACTTGAAGCTTAGAAAATCATTGGGGTCTGGATCATACGATACCGAGGCGTCTAGCTGGAACTTCGACCCAGCCTCTAGCTCAAACATTAGTGATGCAGGACCCTTGGTTCTATTCCACACCGCAACAGGGGCTAAGAGGCCATGGTAGGTAATGAGAGTGATTATGGATGGGCTTTGGAAGATACAACGGCAAATTAAGAGAAGCATATTTGAACTTCAGGTTGACTCGTTGGGTGACCTCGAGCTCGAGGGATCAACTGCCGAAGTTGTGCCGAGAAGGCGAAATCAGCAATCTAACCACCTCCACCAAGTTTGGCTTTACTTCTTTCCATTTTGAGAAGATGAATAAGTAAGGATTGGTAGAATACTAGTTATTAGGCTGATGTTTATTATTTAGACGAGTTAAATGGTAATGAGGGGAGAGTGCCTTATTATAGAGACTAAGCACGGAAGATATTCGAAAACAACAGACTCCAAATCTATCGGATATTGCATTGAAGACGTGTGTAATTGCTTCAGAGTACTTAGCAATTTTGCACCAAATATAAGCCAAATATGTGGGAAAACGAGTGACCAAGCGCAGACAGAAAAGAATGACAGAAAGCAAATAACACAAGACCAAAAGCCAAAACACATGAATATCTCAATCACAGTGAATTCGCCACAGCTCTCGATCACAGTCACTGACATATCCAGTGCGAGTATGGAGCATGGCAGTATTATCACTAATCAACAGATCACCCTTCTCCCAACCAAAGCGAAGACAAACTCTATAGTCATATATGATGCGATCCACAACATCGACCAGACCATTGTCGTCATTCTCAATTGAAACATCACAAGTCGAGAATTTGGTCTTGGTCGAGTCCCAGGGTTCATGCCAGCGCAAACAAGGTAGTCCAGAGATAGGATGCTTCACGATCAAGCGCAGGTTCTTGAGTTTTGCATCCCAGAACCCATCGTTATCCATAGCCCAGGTAATATATTCAAGACGCTCAGCAGACCATGGAAGAGGCAGATACCGGAAGAACAATCGGGAGCTTGCAAACAAAGTGTACCCATTTCCCTTCGGTGCAGTGGCAGGACAAGTGAAGAACTGATAGCCCGGTGGATGTTGGACTTTCTTCTTCTCGCCTGTTTCTGGGTCGGTGATCTCATCGAATTTGAACATCCCATCAAAATGCATGGGCATAGCCTCGTTGGACGTCACATTGTTACCCATCTTGTCAGAGCGGCCGTTGTCCCGTACCTTTTGGATTATGCCGAAGCTCCATGGGAGAATAGTGCCGAGCTCTTCTCCCTTCTTGACATAGAGATCTTCCTCTAGAGTCTCGGAAAATCCGCGGATGACAATTGGTGACATGCCATTCGACAGCTGGCGGACTTTCTTCATTGGGATGGAGCGGATCGACGGCGGCGGATTGACATTGTCGATATCGGCGGGGCGGATGATGAGTCCGCAAGGATAGAGATGCTCGAACTTGACGGATAGACCATCCTCGCTCCAGTCAAAGAGACTTGATCTTTCACGGAAGTAATATGGTTGTCCGTTCTTATAGATGAGGTCGTGGGTGTCGCGTACGTCTTCAGCGTGGACCGTGCGATATGAACCGTCTAGTCCGACAGCCACAGAAGAGTGCCAAGGTGTATACCCCAGTGTGCCTCGAATCTGCGGAATAAGCGAGACTGAAAGCTTTTTCTCGCCAGCCGACTCGTGGATAGATAGTCGTACGTAGTCCTTTCGGTTGGCTTTGATGGCCGCTGCAAACATTTTCCCCCGGATGATCATCTGTCGTGCTGTGTCGGCAATCTGCGCTTGTCGGGCGCGTTTTGACATGGATTTGTCCCTATCCTCCAGATGGGCCAAATCCTTGGTCAAAAATTTGATGTAGCCGCGGTATGTCAGGCATGTATCATTGTCGGTTTTGATAGCCTCCGTCGCGTCGAAGCTCGGGTCAGCAAAGGTGTACATCAGTTCTCGGCGGAGGCAACTAGCGTGAGCCAGATAGGATGCCTTGGCGGCTTCTGGGGTTGAGGACGGGAACCATGGATGCTCGAGAAGCTCAAAAAGACGAATGAATTTGACATGGTGGAGCTCTTTCTCGATGGCCATTGTTCGCAGGGTTTCTCCATACTCCCAAACAGTTTCATCGGGAACGCCAAGGATATCTGGCGAAAGTCAGTATTCAATATCTGTGAACATCCATGGTCATTTCCTTACCATTGTATACAAGTCCATCCGAACTGATGTAGACATCGGCACCAGGAGCGTATACTTCACCGATGTTTTGGCAAAGTCCATTCAAATGGGCCAAGGCCAATTCTTCACCAAAGTCGGGCATATTGCCCAGCACTTTACTGTGCGCATTGGGTGACTTGAATGGAAATGCGGGCAAGATCATGCGGATTGGCTCTTGTCTGGCGATTTGTCCCAGGACAACTGGAACAAACGACTCAAAGCCCTTCCAGGAAATACCCGACTTCTCAAAGTCAACACCATAACTTTCGATAATCTTCAATACATCCATAGCCATCAGTTCATCTCCAGATCGGGGTTTCGAGATCTCAGAGGCGATGGGGCTGTTGGGTACATTTTGTTCGTGTTGGTTGGTATCATTGCCGTTTGAGGTAATAACCACCGGATCGGCGCTGTCATATTCGGGAGGCGTGATATCCACAGCCTTCGAAGTGACTTTCTGATTGAATATTCCCTTGTCGAAAGGGAAAATTCCATTCTCGGTATGCTTGGGGTGGTATGTAGTGGGGACAATGTCCGCACCCGGTGCCAAGACGACCATCGTGACTCGATGTGGAATGTATGTTGCCAAGGGAGATACTCTGAGCCAGACACTGTTCTACCCTGAAAAGGTATGAGAGAAGAGCCAGAATGTGAAGTAACTGTATTGGTCTCACTTGAGTCCTGAGGAAATAGAGAGGTGGTGTTTTATCCAGAACCAGATGGTGCTATATAACCAGCATCAGCCAGAACACTGACCTCGCGACAAGAGATCTGGGAAGTTCAACCCTCCGGTCCGATGACTGTAACTCCTGATGCGGACTAAGAAGTGAAGTCTTAGGTTCAACCTAGGGCATCCCAGGCACGAAAATGGAACGAGTGGCCATCACCCTGTACAACTTGGCACCATGCTTTCCTACTATACTGGACCCCATGGATGAAGTCATAGTAGAGGAAACTCGCTAAATAGCCTTGGCCGACTTAGTAAAGGGCTTGAAGTCCAATTATCAACAGGTTGGTTGCTGAGTCTGAGAAGCTTAAACCTAGAAAACTTCAGTTATCGTTTCAGTAGTGTCAGCAAAGCTCGCGTAGAACCGAAGAGTGAGGTGGCTTGAGGGATATTCCCAGAATAAATGATAAAAGCCTCAATTATCTATTGTGTCTGATGACTATGGATGCATGGGAGGTTTCAGATCCATTGGACAATCGAAGTGGTTGTGGCTTATATGTGTCAATGGGTCTTCCAAGGAGGGTCTCGGGATTCCCGGCGACCCGCTGCCAAAAGCTAGGAAGTGACGACAAATCTATGGCAATCCTATGCAGATTATGATAGTACAAGAAGTATATATGGTTTAATTGGTTTAAATGGTTAATTCCGACGGCTCCAAGCACACGTGTTTTGATACCTCGTATGCTGTGTTCTATTTCGATTTCACCCCAGTGCTTTAATAGCATTTATAACGTCCATTACCGCTAAATATGCAGCTCACTCTTCGACCTCACGCCAATCATACTCCATAACTCGAACAATAAATGCCGCCATGTCATGTGTTGCCAATTGACTAACAAGGTAGCAGGTGACGTCTAAGCCTGAGCTTATCCCACCTGCTGTGAGTAGTCGAACAGCGCCTCCCTTCAACAGACCCCCGTCAAGATATCTTCTGTGCAGTACGGTCGTACCAGGCTCACCCGGAGTATTAGAACGAGCACAAATATCTCGAAGTTTGTCAAGAGCATGATGGTGGGTTGTCACAGTCATCCCGCCGAGTACCCCTCCGGCCCCGAGCAGAAAGGCGCCGGTACAAACCGACAGCAAAGTCCGGGTGCCTAGTGACTTATCTGCAGGTAAGGCTGCAAATTTGCGAATCAAATCAAGCTCCGGTGCGTTTTTTTTCGGTCAGTGGCTGCAGCACCGCCGGGGGGCCACCGGGGATAACCAGGATATGAAAGTCGGAAATCTGATCGACCGCATCAGGCAAAAGCAGGTCTGCGTAAACTGTAAGCGAACTTGCAGCACGAATGGCGGGGCTGCAAGCGATAGTCTTGATTTCGAACATTCTATCCGGACTATCTGGGTTTCGGTTGTGCGAGACATGGGATAAGACTTCGATTGGGCCTGCAAAGTCGAGGATGTCTGCGCCAGGAAACAGGAGGACCCCGACTTTGTAGTACTTGTTCGGGGATTCAGAAGACATAACTGTGACGAGAAATTGCGATATGGTCTTGCAAGACGTACCGAGGCAGATGTCTTTTGGTGGAAGTGTGGGAAGAATAAATAAAATAGCTGTAGTGAGATTGCTGGAGCTGATTCTGGGTTTCGCTTGAAAGAAATTAGAAAAGCTGAGGTGCATTTTACCTCGGGGCGTTTCTGACTCTGCTGACTCCGGCGTAAATAACTGCCCGATTTTGTACTACGCTGGTCTCTGATTCGATGTTTGGGGTTCTCGCAAGGTGTCCAATAATATCGGCCCTTCGTAGTGCGCTTGGAAATTGAGCCAGTTGGTATGGAACCCGGGGATGTAAATGTCTCACACTGAATAATCTCGTGGGATTACCCAGGGGGATAAGACTAGGTAAAATGATAGGAATTTAAGTATCCCCATTAGGATAGAGTCATGAATTATATAGGAGGATGAGAGGAGATAAATATATAGGGAAAGAAAGGTTGGAGTACCTGAGACCGATAATAGTACATTTGGATAAGCTGTAGTTCACGCCTTTTGAGTCCCAGTACTCTTCTTGATGTGATGTATTCTTAGCCTTGACTCTTGAGTGGTCGTTACTAGATCCTAGTCTTCTGGTCATATCTTCAACCGGTCTTGGTGCATACCTAGATCCCGGGATGACAGCACCCCCCTGCGAGCTGCAACGACTTGGGAAATACTTTGTCATCCTTGATAATTTTCATGAACTTATGACTAATAAGGAGGGTGGGGGATTGGGAGAGTGGTACTCCAGAAAATCAGATGAGCAGAGATGCGAAACTTGAGTCATCAGTCACCGCAGAAAGGAGCTAATGTAAGGTGTATTGCAACTGCCATGGTCTAGCAAGCACAATCATGAAACTATGCAAGCGAGTCAGCGTCATCTGGTCTACTTTGTAGTTAAGAACCGAAGTGGCGATGTAGTCAACCTCAGAAGTTAGGGCTAATATTAGTCATGATGTAATTCCCCCGGAACTATTCAGATAGTGGGGAATGATGGAGCAGAATGCAGACCTGGAGTTGAACAGAAAAGGGTGTCCCTTCTTACAAGGTAAATCTTGAATATCGCTGTAGCAAGGTAGCAATGCTGCCTACTTTTGACATCCCATCCCGAGCCTCGGCCAAAGAGGGACTAGTTTCGAGGCTGCTTTGGCAGACGCTCCCGTCGAAAAGCACCAAAGACATTGACGTAGGCAGTATGCATAGATCGTATTGGGGGGGCAGGTTCGAAGTATCACGATATAAGATTTCGTAAAAGAGATTGTAGAGATACAGAACGTTCAACGGCGTATATGACACGGAAGAACATATTCAATTCGTAAGAAAAGCCCTCCCATCCAACAAATTTAAATAAATAAATTTGCAAAAATAATAACAATCACGAGATGGACCAGGAAAAAAAGACGCCGGCGCCGCGCTGAAGAAAAAAAACAACTGAAAAGTAAACGCGTTTCGAGGGACAAATCACCTCAAATCACTAGCCCCACAGGGGTGGATGAATATACTCTGCTGCACGATCCATTATATTGGGCATTGTCCATTCACCACTAGCAGAGCTTTCTGGCGTCGGGGGTGGAAGAGAACCAACGCTGGGGGTCATGTTTGCCTGCCCAGGGGCAAGTGTACCCATGGAAGCGGAGGCCGGGTTGAGGTTAGGAGTACTGCTGGAGTACACAGGGCCATTGCGTCCCATTGGAGGACGCGTAGATGGATTCCCAACTGCGGCAAGGAGTTTCTGCAAAGCACGATGGGTTTTCGCTAGCGACTTGGCCCATTGCGTTTGTGTATCAGGAGGTAACCCAACCGGAGGAATTGGATCCACCGCCGGAGCAATGGGGCCTGGGACGTTCGTGGTCCCTGTGATTGGGTCGTAAGTGCCTAGAGGTTGGGGCGGAGAGGTCATACTGGCCACAGTGGGGGCCTCGTTGGAATCATAGGCACGTTCGGTGCTTGCTCTTTGGGCGATGATGCCTTCGAGTGCATGCAGCAGATTCCACACATTCGGGTCCGCTTTCGCCTCGTCAATGACGGCAAGCAGGAATGCGGAGCTAATCGCCCGCTGTAATAAGATCCAGGAACGAGCTGCATGGGAGCTGAAGTTGTGCATTTCAATGTAAGCTTCAACAGTCGTCATTAGATTCATCACACAATTTTCGCGCATGCTAGCTGCGCTGGCGTCACTTAAATCGGCCATGGGTTTGAGCGCCGGCCTGCAGAGCTCAGAGGCGAAATAAGAAGAATGCAATTTCAACACAACTCGCTCCAGATGTTGCGTTGGTGTGGAACAGTTTATTGCATCTCGCAGGTATGGCTTTGCCTCGATCATGATCTTCTGGATGCGATCCTTATAAGTCTGTATGCTTTCCAAACTTATTTGAGCATGTGGGCTCAGCATGCGAATGCGGACAACCTCTAGTGCAAGAGAAATGACTCGCGAAAGACTTTCAAAATAAGATATATCACCAGGTTTAGAGCCATCCCTATAAGCGATATCTGGTTGGCTCACTGCAGTGGTGGAAGGCCGATCGTAGGAGAGCGAAAAGTGGCTGTCTTGCCACGCCATGGACCACCTATTGATGTCAGGGCCACATACTTTCGGGTCATGAAGGAGAAATTATCTTACCAAACATGTCGTCGGCGGTATCGTTCAGCTGACGAAAATCGACTTGACTCCACATGGAGACCGAGCGCCAAGCCCATGCGAAGAGTCATGCCAAGCAAGACATAAGAAATTCCAGGATTCATATTGTATGACAAAACGTTTCCTATCACCAGGAGAGTTTGAATTGCCTCAATAGTGGGCTGGGATAGGAAATTTGTCAAGCGGAGACACTGGTAGGAGCAGCACACTATTTGAAGTGTTAGCCAAGCAACTCCAATAAAATCCCTGATATGGATCACATACCATAAACTTGCGAGGTCAATTCCCTTTCCTTGCTCCCATAATCAGATGACTGGCATCCAGAAGCAAGAATAGCGAACAGTAGTCCTAGGTACGCAATGCTCACCCCGAAAGGCTTTTGTGCTTGGTCTGCATCAGCCAGGTACTCGCCACCGACAGAGGCTCTTGTCCCCAGTAGAAGCTCGAGGGTGTTCTCGAACTCATAGATGTCTTCTAAAACAGGATAGATGGCTCCCGAAATGTCCTTGTAGTAGTAGAATAACCTATAGGGAGGAAGAAAGTTAGCGCAAACAATCTCGCTGAAAGTTCGATTTTCAATTCGAAAGGATTACACACTCTCTGCAGTGTTGATCAGTGGGAAGGGCGCTGCAGACGGCAGTAATATCAAACGTTGACATATCGGACGACCATAGATCAACAAATGGATAGGTTGCAGACTCATTGTCCAAACCGAGCTTGGGTAGTATTCCTCCTTCCAAAAGTGCTTGCAGTTGATCAGACCCGGACTGATTGTTCAGAATATAAGCCAGAACAGAACGCGATCCCAAATGGACAGTGCCTTTGCCAAGAGTGTTCGCAGCATGGATGCCCTCGCGTTCCGGCGAAGCACACTTGGAACGGGAACTCGCATCGGCACTGTGCACGCTTCCGGTATCCATGGAGGTTGGGATGACGTCTTCCGCCCTTTCCAGCCCAACTCGAAGTGAGGAAATTGTAGACTCCATTTCCTCCAATCTATTGCGCACATTATCCCATTCCTCGCGGGCGATTGAAACACGGCCACCACCTATAGCAGGGACGCTCGGTCGGTTGACAGGTAGCTCATGTTTCACTTCCGCCGGGGTTTCATCATACGTATATGTTGTTGAATATTCAGGCACGGGTGCCGCTGACGCACTAGAGGGGGCGCTATGATTGAAGGCTTGCGATCGTTTCTTGGAGGGGCGTTCGTAGGAGCAAAGGTCTGCATGGTCGCGCTTAACGCACCCGTCACACGGCAGATTGCGATCACATTTAACCTTGCGCGCGTGGCAAGGATAGCAGGCTTTGGGTTCACGAGCCTTGCGCTTCGTGCGGATGATCGCGTCCACCTGAGCCTGCGGTAGATCGGTGACTGCTCTGTTGGGCGCTCCAGCCATATCGGAGGCAACGGAGGGCGAAAATGAAGTGGATGTTGGGTAAGGCGACGTCATTCTGGCTCAAGAAAAAGATTCTTTGGTACAATGTACCCTTAGTCGGTCTTGAAGTTATCGTGTGTCGGCCTACACAGCGGTGTTTCGTTCGGTCATTGGCAGCATGGATGTGGAGGATCGGAAGCGATTTGGGAGTTGGACAGTGATTTCAACACATTAGCGACAGGTACAGTTCCATAAATTCATTAGTTAAATCAGAGCAGCATGTTAAGCAATGAAGGCTCGATTTGAAATTGCGCGCAATTTGTTCAAGGAAAGCTGAGATTAAGCGCCGGGGCAATGCTACAACGGGCACGTGATGTGGGGCGTCCAAATGCGGAATCAAGCCCTACGTCAGTATTGTATACAACATACATTGAAATGGCTTGGTATAATTTGTGAAAAGGCATGAGTATTGAGTAGTTGATCGTGTATTACATGTAGAATCTTGCTAGGAAGATGAATTGCTTTTTCATAATTACGAGGTCAGTGTTTAAACAACATGCTTGATGCGTAAGGCCTCTATCTCCAACATATATATAACAATCCCGCAATATTCAGACATTGTCTGTGTCAATCGTGACCATAAAATGGAACCTCATCAATGATCGGCGAGCCTGGAGTAAGCAACAGTTGTCTCGAAATACTATCTAAATTAGTAGTATAGACCACACCCGGGGCATGAACGCTTCGCCGATTGTGACTCAATCGATAAAGCGTACAACATACGGAGCAACCCGTAGCCGATACCCAACCTACAATTTATGTATCTTTTGTATGACTTTCCCATACAGAAGATATTTTAAGCATCTTTTAGACACTATACAAAATTTCTTAACCCTTGGAGTCTTGGACTAGCTAAAATACACCAATACCCCTTGGCACCGTTATTCCCGGATCGTAGGTGTTCTAGAATGCTTGGCTAATCGTGCCAAGCACCCAACACATCTTTATTGCGCTGACGATGTTTCGAACAAAACCTCAGATGCCCTCGGAATTGATAATGGGGAATATCTGGGGAGATCATGATATCAAAAGCGGATTTTCCGAGGCTTATGGAAGTAAAAAGTAAATAAGACGCCATTCTACTTATCGTAGCTAGTTGAAACTAAAAACAAAGGAGTAATTCAAGAGTGTTGAGAATGTTGAGATAACAATGATCTTTTGTTCTACTACCATGGTGGCACCCGGGGCATCTTTCGATGTAAGAAGGCGCAGGTTCTGCGTCGGCTCCAGGCTGTCCACGAGGCATAAGAGGCCCGCCCGCCTGGATCCAGGGCGATTGGCGCGGGAATCACTGACGGAAGTCTTCGAGAATGACCTGTATCCGGTATAGCGTCGGCGATTTCAGCATGGGTATTCGCAATCCACAGCGAGTCATTGTCGCGCGGAGCTGTCCCTGTGTATAGCATTTGCTGTACCATCCAATCTGTGATCTGAATGCCTACACCAACCTCGATGTACCTGACATTGGACTCTGTTGCTCCGTATGTTGTACGCTTCGCCGATAACCGGAACGGTTGTTGGGCGCCTGGCACGGCTATCTGTCGAATGACGTTGTATCGTAAAAATAGGGGGTCCAATTAATGAATGGGGTTCAAGTATCTTGTAGCCTCAGGTTTAAATAAGTTGGGGCCTAAGGCCTTACACGGGACGGAATATTATGAGCTCCGGCTGACCAATTGAGAGTGACGTACAGGGCAGCTGCCAGTGTTTAGGTCTGTCATCCAACGCCCACATTGTTTTGCCTCCTATCCAAGACAAAACACCGTTTTCGGTATCAGGTCTGCCATTAATTTCCCTATCGGTCGCCTCTTTTCACTTCGATCTCCGAAACCCGCCAACCAAGCTCAACTATGGAGGGTAACCCCGCGGAGCACGATGAGGCCGTGTCTCAATTCTGTGCTATGACTGGAACTCAGGCTTCAGAGGTACGACCCTTGCTTGAATTACATAATACGGTTGCTAAATCCGAGTGCATGATTGTCTAGGCTCAAGAATATCTTGCTGCCAATGGGTGGGACATCGAAGCTGCTGTCACAGAGTTCTTTGCGGAGCAGGACGAAGCCTTGCAGGATACCACTACTGGTGGCGAGCGACAACTAGGCACAGAGGGTAGTTCTGGAGCTCCTACGGGGGGCAGAACTCTCGGGGGAAATGCCGTACCAGCTTCATCCTCTGCCGCAGCTTCATCCTCATCGTCTGCCCGAAGAGCTGCGCCTAAGAAGAAGTTTGCGACACTGGGAGACTTTGCTTCGGGAGGAGGTGGCGGAGCTGGTGATTCGTCCGATGGCGATGACACCGACGAGCATGATTTCTTTGCAGGTGGTGAAAAGTCCGGACTTGCTGTGCAGAACCCCGACGATTTGAAAAAGAAGATCCTCGAAAAGGCCCGCAAGTAAGTTATATAGATGTTGAATACTGAACCCAACTAACATTCAAACGTCAACAGGGCGCAGCCTCCTCCTTCCGACGCTCCTGAGCCAAGGGAATCACATTTCATCGGCACTGCCCGCACACTCGGTGGTGACGATGCACCAAGCGAGCTGATTGAAAACCCCTCGGCGCCCACTCAACAGCGTGCCCAGCGTGTTCAACGGACTCTTCACTTCTGGGCTGATGGATTTTCCGTGGATGACGGTGAACTGTTTCGATCAGACGACCCTCGAAATGCAGAGATCTTGGACGGTATCCGCCAGGGCCGCGCTCCTCTTTCCATCATGAATGTTCAACCTGGGCAGGAGGTCGATGTGGAACTCAAGCAGCATGAGGAGAAGTACATCAAGCCCAAACCCAAGTACAAGCCTTTCTCGGGTTCTGGGCAGCGCCTCGGTAGCCCGACGCCCAGCGTACGGAGCCAGGCCCCCACACCTTCGTCCTCCACGGCTGCACCATCTGCCCAGGAGCCAGCGAAGCCCAACGTGGACGAGTCGCAACCTACGGTTACCCTACAAATCCGCCTCGGAGATGGTACGCGGTTAACGTCTCGGTTTAACACCACCGCCACCATTGGCGATGTGTATGCGTTCGTTGCTGCTGCTACCCCGGATGGTGCAAACCGCGCATGGGTCTTGATGACGACTTTCCCCAGCACGGAGCTGAAGGACTGGGACGTTGTTCTGGGCGATATGCCCGATTTCAAACGTGGAGGTGTCGTTGTTCAGAAGTGGCAGTAAAATGCCCTACTAATATTCATTCTTTCTCGTCTCGAGAGTTTTCTCAGAGTGGCTCCAAAAGCGAATACCAGCAGGGCAGTGAGTTTGTATGGGTGAACGTTACATGACATACCTGATACCGAAAGAGAACCTTCATATTTGCTACGTAGAGCAATGACATTTGCCTAACAAGCTCCCAAATTCAAAATAAGTGGCCAATCAGACCTTTTTTTATTCCATGTCATACCGGTGTTTTGTTGTAAACCGAAGGTTAGTCAGAAGGCGATTGATAAGCGCCCGAATATCGGCCTCTCCACTCTTTGAAATCCATCATTGCGCTTTCAGTTGCTGCAACCTTTCTTTCTTCCACAAATTAAGCATACACTATACAAATATGCCTCTCACTGGAGTGAAGAATGTTGTTTTGGTACGTGCACCGTCAATCTGTTATAAGTCCTCGGCGCGAAAAAAAAAAAAAAAAGAAAGAAAGTAAAAAGAAAGCTATGCCCCTCATAGCTTATCGATAACGAGCGCACTGCTAGAAGCCATGAGCTAGAACATTTAAGCGCAATTTATTGGACAAGACTAACGAGGTAATCCTGAATATTAGGTCCTGTCCGGAAAAGGAGGTGTGGGAAAATCCTCTGTCACACTCCAACTCGCCCTTGCGCTCTCGCTGCAAGGCAAATCGGTCGGAATCCTCGACATCGACCTGACAGGACCCTCAATGCCACGCCTAGTCGGACTCGAAGATGCAAAGATCACACAAGCGCCAGGGGGATGGATGCCAGTACCAGTTCACGGTGCTGAATCCGCATTTGAAGCCGACGCTTCAGCGCCCTCGACACAACCCCAGCGCGGTTCTCTCCGCTGCATGTCCCTAGGCTTCCTCCTCCGCGATCGCGGCGACGCAGTCATCTGGCGCGGACCAAAGAAAACGGCTATGATCCGGCAATTCCTCTCAGATGTCTTCTGGGGCCCGACTGATTACCTACTCATCGATACGCCTCCCGGAACGAGTGACGAGCACATTGCGCTGGCTGAGCAGCTACTCACGCTCTCTACTGTAGATGCAGTGGCGGCTGCGCAAGTAGGCTTGCCTCGACTTGCTGGTGCGGTCCTTGTTACAACGCCGCAGGCTGTGGCGACATCAGACGTGCGCAAAGAGGCGAACTTCTGCGTTAAGACTAATATTCCTGTACTTGGGGTTATCGAGAATATGTCCGGGTATGCTTGCCCCTGCTGTGGCGAGGTTAGCAATTTGTTCTCCAGTGGTGGGGGACAGGTGATGGCCCAGGAATTAAGCCTTCCATTTATGGGCAGCGTGCCTATTGATGTGAAATTCGGAGAATTGGTTGAAGGAAAGATGGAGACTGGTGATAGTGACGAGGAAGACGATGAGGAAGACATTCCAAAGAGTCAACCACACGATACCCCCGCTGAACCTGATGATCGGCCACTCGTTGAACGATACCGGGATACCTGGTCTTATCCTCGATTTGAGGGATTTGCGCAGACACTTATAAGCAGCATTGAGGGCCCAACTGCCGTATAGCAGCGTTCAGGGCGAAAAAAAAGTGGTGTGTTTGATTGCCTGTTTTATAGCGACATCCTATTTTTCTTGCTTTTATTTGCATTGCGTGATAGAATGTGTCTGAAAATTTATGAATGTCAGATCATACAATGGATGAGCCAGTCAACACCTTGAGAGCTTGAGCTTGTATTATTTTTTCTTTTCCGACTTGGAAGAAATGCGATACCCCCTAATTCCACCGAGTCCCCTGAGTCCCAAACCGCCAAGCTCCGTTATACCCGCTCAGTTTCTCATGGGAAGGCCACCATCGAAAGCCAGTTTACTCACGTGCCCGTCTTCCCGTGGTAGGTGATGGCCCACAGAGCCAAGGCGAGAGTGACTTTGATGAACTAAAGTCAAAAGGTACACCCAAACACCTTCCATGTGGTATTCTAGCATGTGTTTTCTCTGTTTTCTTTTAGGTTATTCTAGATTCCGATTCACAGTGCCAATATATCACGGTGAAAATTCTTCAGGGAGAGCACACGACCACACCTTGCACAGACATTTGCAATTGCAACCGGCAGCGCCAAGGGTAGGCTGTGCGTCCGCCGAGAAAAACCAAACTTCCAAATCTCTGGGCGCGCGAACTGAACCCATGTTCAAGCTCTATTAAACGGTCAATCGTATCTCAGGACCCAGGAACGTGCAAATGTACGCAATATGATTGGTCTAGGTGACCCATAGAGAGTACATCATCGCCGGAAGTCGCACTTTATCCGCTCTTGGCGCCCGCTCCCACCAGGATAAGGCTTGGCGCCAACTCCCATCTCGATTCGATCATCAGACAATGTCGCCTTCAGCTCAACCAATGACCGCTTGATTGCAGGTGCACGCTGTCAATGATTTCTATATCATGGGCTAGGAGTGAAATTAAAAAAAAATCGAACTTAATACGGATGAAGCCAAGTTCAGTACAAGGTTTTATTATAGGCCGCACTTGGCAATAGCCGTGGCAAGTTCGCACCTTGTATAAGTGCAACCATAAATCCTAGACATTGATAGTCTTCTAGAATCAATTCATTCATTTTCTCGAGCCCAGATTCCCCTTAGTTGCTGTGGTCGAACACAGCCCTTCGCCACCATGATTCCGGCAGCAACTGCGAAGTATGACTGGATCCTAGCCATTACCACAATCGCTTTCGTGGTCAGTGCCTTCGGTAACGGTGCCAACGATGTCGCCAACGCCTATGCCACCTCCGTCGCGGCCCGGACCCTCAACATGGCCACGGCCGGTGTCCTGGCTGTATTCACCGAGTTCATCGGCGCAGTAGCCATGGGCTCACGAGTCACCGATACAATCAAGAACGGCATCATCGGCATCGACCGCTTCGAGGGCAAGCCCGGTGCACTCATGCTGGCCATGGGTTGTGCCGAGATTGGCAGCGCCTCGTGGTTGATGCTCGCCACACGAATGGGCTGGCCTGTCTCGACGACCCAGACTATCGTCGGTGCCCTCATTGGCGTTGGTTTTGCGAGCCAGTCTTCTATCAGCTGGGGCTGGGCAGATGGCAGTGTCTCCCAGGTCGCTGCATCTTGGGGTATTGCCCCTCTCGTCGCAGCTGGATTCTCGGCCATAATCTTCGGCACTGTCAAGTACAGTGTCCTTGAACGTCGCGATTCCCTCAAGTGGGGTATGTTCATGATTCCATACTACCTTGCCATCACGGGAGCCATCCTCGCCCTCTTCATCGTCATTGAAGCCCCCACCGCACCCTCGTTGGAAGCGTTTGGTGCTGGCAAGGCAGCCGGCATCATTGTGGGTGTGTTCGTAGGCTGTCTCTTCATTGGCTACGCTTTCTTCATTCCATATTTCAAACGCCGTCTCATCATGAACGATAGCCGCGTCAGGTTTTATCACATTCCTCTCGGTCCCTTGCTCCTGAAGGCAAACCCACCGCTATACTTCCCAGGAAAGGCCGACCAGGCCGTGGTCAGCTACTATGAGGATGCTTACGGTGAAGTTCGAGCCGGCCAAAACGACACAGAGAAGGAAAACGTCCTCTCGAATGCAGACTCTGTCACGGCCTCGCCGGACATTAAAGCAAAGCCCAACCCGCCACAAATAGGAAATGACGAGGAGAAGACCACACCGGCAGCCCCTCCACGGAAGAGGCACATCGAGCCAACTGAACGTTTCATCGACCCTGTCCGACACCTCTCTTGGGCAAACCCCCAGAAGGCCTACGGATATCTCAAATGGTTTTTCCTTCAGGGTGTCACACGCGATGTGGTCTCACACGACTCGCCTGAGCTGCGGGCAATCCACGCGCGTGCCCACCGCTATGACGACCGCGTCGAACATCTTTGGACATACTGCCAAGTTGTGTCGGCTATGATGATGTCCATTGCGCACGGCTCGAACGATGTGGCCAATGCCGTTGGACCCTGGGCTGCTGTTTACAGCACTTTCCATGCTGGCGTTGTCGATACCGACGCTCCTACCCCGGTCTGGTTCTTGGTTGTTGCTGGTCTGCTGCTCGGTCTTGGATTCTGGTTCTACGGATACCACATCGTTCGAGCTCTTGGAAACAAGATCACACAGATGTCCCCAACTAGAGGGTTCTCAGTCGAGCTAGGCGCCGCGATAACCGTGATGTTGGCTTCGAGATTGGGTTTGCCAGTATCCACGACCCAGTGCTTGACTGGTGCCTCGATGGGTGTGGCTCTCATGAACTATGACTTGGGCGCCGTCAATTGGAAGCAGCTCGGCTTTATCTTCTGTGGCTGGGTCCTGACTTTGCCTTGTGCAGGATTGGTTTCCGGACTTATTTGTTTGCTCGCATTGAATGCTCCTCATTTGTAAATATAGTATATATTGGTTCTTAGGTGTTGCGATATCACGTGATCGCCCAGATACTAATTTTTCAATGTTTTTGGTTAAACCTTCTCACGTGACCCATTATCACATGCTTCCACATGCCTCCATGTAATTAGATTATTCTCTCCCTTTCCTCCATAACTTCTCCATACAACTACACAATAACATTCATTGTGGCTTCATCTACCTGCCTGTAGATTCTAACATTTTTCAATATCACGGGACTACACCCGGCAGAATTTATTGTGAGGGGTCTCTTAGACTGTATTCTGTATCTGGATTCTGGAGACTCCCACTTGATGGGGGAAAAGAAGAGAGATAAAGCTAGTTGCTGCACGATAGGAACTGAGGTGAACTAATACTACAAAATTACGGGTAGAAGATTGATTAGGTAGTAAAATGAGTGTGATTTGTAAAAAGCAAGCTGCTCAGCTTTTAACCTATGGGGCTTAAAAGCATACCAGGCCCTGAGCAAGTCAGGTGGCTACTGGAAAGAGTAAAATGACGGAGCGGAACAGGTGTAATTCCATGCTGACACGAGCTACTGGAAGTCGGGCGGCCACTGATCAGACCAGCACATGGGAGAGCCAGGACCCAGCCGAAGAAAATCTTGCCCAGCTGCTTCCAGTTGATACTTCTGAGATCCATGTTGACCAACGCAACGCTCAGCACGGCGCCAGTAATGCATTGCGTCTGTTTACCAGCGCTTGGTATATGGGAGGAGTTGAATCTGGGGTCTTATAATCAGCGCAGGCGTAGGCGTAGGTGAGCCGGTGATCAAGCGAATCCGTGAGCAAGGGTGCGTCTAGTGAAAAAATAGTCAGTAAACGGCCGTGTGGGAGACTGTAAACTGGCAACTTACGGTTCAACCTCAAAGGTCGAAATGCAGTCGTACACATCCTCCACGATGCTTTGTAAGAAGTCATAAGCGTCATAGAGGTCATAAAAGGAGACGTAGGCATTAACATTAGACTTATAAAGTCAAGTTGGCTGGGATCCGAACATAGAAATACTGACATGCAAATTTACCTCAGCTTATCCGAATACAATGTGCTCAAAGTCCTTCTTATCAGGACAGGCTTGGTGGCAGTGACTGAGACGTTTCCATTGTCGGTAGTTTTGAAGTCAGTTAGAATACCGGAAAGGCAACGACGCGGGAGGTTTGTAGGCCGCGATTGAGCAGGGTTCGTTGACATGGTTTGGCGGGGGTTTGGCGACTGTCAGTTGTTGGCTAGCTGGGCAATGTGTGGGTGATTGAATATGTAGGGGACGTTTGAGTTGAGTCTTTCCAATTGGGTGTACGGGCGACTATAGGGATTACCGTCATATAACTCTCTCATTGGCTAGTGCCTCACAGCCTATTTTATCATCGCCTTCTTGAAGTAAGGTCTCTTTTACACCTACATACTTCACGGATCACGCCAGGTCTCAAATTCCCATGTTGCCAAATCAGCCTCTGCCACCCCTTTGGTGACGACCCTCATGCCAACCAGGCACACCCATTCTCCAGACAGTCTCGCCAGAATCTCACCCGTTCTAAGTCCCGACCTTCACCGTTATCATATTCCTCATCCTTCATCTAGTATCTATCCCCTCTATATCACAACCTTCGTCGTACATCAACCAGGGTGATTCCAGGGCTGGTATCGTTAGATAACTACCTAACCCTCATCCGAGTCACGACAATTGATTACTAGTGCGGTTGTCCGCTGATTCAACACCCTTACCAGTCTCCCAGGCACCTTTCACTATCACTCAGTGAACCCATCCACGATCGTATAACGCGTGTCTTTACCAGGACAGAGCAATATTTCATTGCTTCTATTCAGGGCATCATTGACCAAGAGAGAGCTTTTGAGCTTTTTACAATCCTGAACAGAGTCACAGTCAATGATAATCACTAACCCGAGCGGGGCCAGCCACTAGACTAGGAATATCAATGACCGGAGGGAAAGGAAGCAATGAGGATCTCTCGATAATAAGCAACGAAGCGGCAAGGGCTCAAGACTCTTCGGGAAGCTCATATATACGTGGTTCTTCCTTGCGTTGCAGATAATGGAGTTGGCGTGCGCTTATAGCTAGGAGCTCCTGGACACGCTGTCATTGAGGGGAAGAAAGACGTATAAGGAATATCCGAGATCGGAGCAGTGGCTGACAGCAAGGATAAAGCAATCCGGTTCTTGTCCACAGGGCCAGCTGAGAGAACAACAGGTTTGAAGACAGATTTCTCCGAGATCAGACTGTCTTTTGATCAGCCACATGTGCTTCTGTTAGGAGAGGTCTACGTTGACGTCGAAATGCATGGTGCAATGTGAGGTTGATTGATTGTTGTGTTGAAGAAGTTAACTACAGACACCTAACACCCCCCACGAACATGGAACCGTGAACTCGTTATGACCCGTCACAAAGCGAACCTAGTTATCGAAAGGTTATTGAAGCGTACAATAGGAGTGCCAGGAAGAGCATCGGCTGTGGTAGGCTTGTTGGTGGTAGTAGTTGGATTATTGACCGTGTTAGCTAGCGGATAGAGAGGTGCGTCGAAGGAGAGGCACTTGTTTTAGATGATAGCGGTTGATAACGGCTGAAAGCCTATGCGCGTTTTTTGTGGGGTTTGGCCTGGCCGGTGATGTCGATGGTGACGACGGTGTCGATGGTGACGATCACGATGGCGGCGTCAATGAAGGGGCCGATGGAGGATGGCGATGATGAGGATAGATGAATGGAGCATTCAAGGGCTTATAACCTGTTAGGAAAGGTCTACGTTGTGGACGTTGGAGTGCATGATGCAATGTCAGGTTGATATTGTTAAAGAAGTTAAGTTACAGAGACTGATAAAACTGACAAACAGGTTTGAAGACAGATTTCCCCGAGATCAGACTGCTTTTTGATCAGCCACATATGCTTCCTTTGTACATCCGGGTGAAAGCCATTAAGGCCTCAGGCCTTTTCAGGCTGTCGTGCTCCTGTCGACACCAAAGGCACCCCTTAACGCCGATTGCTCTCTCACCAACGCTGCAGGCGGGGCCATAGAGCTCATATTGACGCCGATTGCTCTCTCACCAACGCTGTAGGCGGGGCCATAGGGCTTATGTTGACGTCGATTGCCCTCTCACCGACGCTGCAGGCGTCTCACCGTCGCTGCAGGCGGGGCCATAGAGCTCATGTTGACGCCGATTGCCCTCCCCCTCCAACCACTATCTAATACCGTTGCATCACCTCAAAACCAGATCAGGCACGACATTCAACCATTGAATCGAAGCACCCCAACCGCCTTCAATCAAACCCAACAACATATATACATTTCCCCTCTTCCTATTTCCAACATCATGCCTCTTCTTCATCCACTGTTTGCTTCTTGGCTTCCCTCCTCCGCTTATCGGCTGCCCTCCGCTTTTCGAGATCCTTCTCCCTCCGCTCTGGGTCCTCCCTTTTCTTTCTCTTGTACTCCGCTTGTTTCTCGAGGCGCCGCTTCCTCGCCTCCGGGTCCTCTTCCAACTTCTTTCTGTTGTAACGCTCTTTCTGCTTCTCCTTTGCCTTCTTTATCTTCTCTGGGTCCTCCTTCTTCCTCCTTCTCTCTCTCTGCTGCTCGGCGTACTTCTTTCTCAACTCTGGGTCTGCCCTTCTCTTGTTCTGCATCTCGTTACGTCTCTTCCTCGCCTCCGGGTCCTCCATTTTCTTCCTTCGTTTCTGTAGGCGCTCCTCCCTCACCTCTGGGTCTGCCCTCCTCTTTCTCTCCATCTCATTACGTCTCTTCCTGTACTCTGGATCCTCCATCCTCTTTTTCGTATTCTTCCTCGCAACTTCGTTTCTCCTCTTCCTTTCCTCCGGGTCCTCTTCCACCTTCTTTCTGTAACGCTCTCTCTGCTTCTCGTTTTCTCTCTTTCTCACCTCCGGGTCCTCCAACAAACACAGGGTCTAACATAGAAGTTAGAGAACACTGGTTTCTGCAAAGTTCCTAGGAAGATCATAAATAATCCTTCTAGTAGGTTGAGATACCCTCGCTGCACGGGAGTATCAAATGCCGCTAGTACCAGAGCATGTGCTGTTTTCCCCTCCATAAGTTTCTGGTAAAGCCGCGACCTCCGTTCGATCAACCATCTAGACGGTCTCTTATGCACTTTAATTCGCACCCCAATCTTCACGCTCGATCCCACGTATACTGCGAGAATGAGGTCACCTTGTTCGGTTTCCCCTTCCTTCACAATAAACACATATATTCCCGTCCAGTCCTCACTTTCCCCATCGGGCAAGGTCAACCGGTCTTCTAGTTCGATCGTGTCCTTTTAAAACAACTTTCGTACAACCGGGGGAATCGCCTCCATCAGTCGTCGTGTGATCCAGTCAACGTTGACTCGACACAACAGTCGCCAGTAGGACAGGCTCAAAGGCATTTCGCCCGAGTCTAGACCGATGATGTTGTTGGTTCTGCTGTGCCCTTGCAGATACTGAATCGTAGCTTGCATTGTCATCCATAGTCGACCGAAGTCGTCAATCTCTGGATCGTCCTGGCTATCAGGTATAAGAATTTCCGGGTCATCCTGATTGTTGGTGATGATGTCTCCCTCAAATCGTGAAAGCAAACATCTCCATTCCTCCTCTCTCCCACGCAACACAATGTCTTCCAAGTTTGCTGAAGAACGAAAGAGAAACGCCGCAAGTCAAAGATGTTCTTATATCCCTACAACAGTCTACCCTATAAATATTCACTCACCCCTAAACTAACCAACAGATATACCAATTCACTTCACTTCACCTCACCTCACCTCACCTCACTTCACTTCACTTCACCTCACTTCACTTCACCTCACTTCACCTCACCTCACTTCACCTCACTTCACCTCACTTCACCTCACTTCACCTCACTTCACCTCACCTCACTTCACCTCACTTCACTTCACTTCAATTCACTTCAGACTCACTTCAGGTTCACTTCAGATTAAGGTAGCAAGATAGCAAGTTAGTAAGAAATCAAGAGCTAAGAATTAAGAGTTAGGAGTATAAAGAGCCCGGTTTTAAAAAATTAATATAGTATTCATTTAACAATAGATTCAACATAACTAGTACTTGTGAAGTGAGAGTAGATCTAAATTATTACCTAGTAATATAAACTAATAAGAGAGTTATATATCGGGTGGCATATCTAGTCGCCCGTACCTATGACCTTTAACATATAAAAGCCCATCGTGAAGCAAACATCTCCTTTCCTCCTCTCTTCCACCAACACAATGTCGTCTAAATTCGCCGAAGAACGGCGAAAAAAAGCCGTAAGTCAAAGATTTTCTTATATCCCTACGTGACATACATTATGATGCATCTAATGATACATGTTGGTCATCGTCTCCGATGGTTTTCATCCTATCTCTGATCGTCTCATCATGATCTCCATCAATCCCCATCAATCCCCAATGACTTATTATACTACTGGCAGCCATGATCGACAAGTTCTCATTTACGCTATCATAAGCAAGCTAACTATAAGTAGGAGGAAAAGCAACGCCGCCGTGACGACGACTACCGGGCCTTTATGGCCGACTTTGGGAAGGTATAAGATTCTTATTCCCCTAATAAAGCTATTACTAATTAAGATTACAGCGCGCCTTTGACCTGCAGCGGGTACTCCCCGCCGCCTCGCAAGAGGTCCCCGCCACCGCCGTGCCGCAGACCCCCTCCATCGCGCCGCCACATATATACATATATATATATATATATTTATGCAGCTCGCCGAGAGGGGCCTGCCCGCAAATACACCATCAGGCCCCTCTCGGCGAGGGCTTGACAATTCCCGTTGGGCACCGTACGCCGCCCAACGGGCCCCTGCGCGGCCCGCTGGCCAAAACGCGGCCAGAGCTGGTGAGGATGCGCCCCGGGCTGCCACTGCCACGCCCACGCCACACAATTCCCCTCCCTCCACATCTTACGACCTCCATGAGGTCTCGGATGAGGATGTTGAGGTCAAACTGTCTGGTGGTCCACTGATCATCCCCTTTCATCTCCTGTTCCTACGAGAACCTGAAGCACCAAGAGAAACCGACATTATAATCGGTAAGGAAGAGTTACTCTACATTGCGGAAGAGGGGATGGGATATGCAATTTCAGTAAATTGCTCTTTCTCTTTCTCTTCTGCGGCCTTCTGCGGCCTTCTGCGGCACCCTCCCTCCCTGCGTATCTAAAAGTTCACCTCCCGCCGTCATCCCCCATACAACCACCGAATCAGAAATATAAAAAAAAAAAGAAAAGAAATGGATTTCTTACAACACGCTCGCTGCCTTGTGATTCTTGTTTTTTCTTCACTTGTTTTTTTTTTTTTTAATTGATACCCTTTCATCATATCAAACAACTTTTATTATCATATAAAACTTTGAATTCCTATCAATTCCGATAGATTCATATCATCGATTAACTTATTATACTATCACCTCGATTCTTTCGAGGCGAGTCGATAGGTTAACTTTTTCTTTTTTTGGCCGCTGAACAAAAGTTGCTGAAACAAATATATTCTCATTTTAAGTTATTATTGAAGGCCGAGAAAGTAAGCCCAAAAATATGAAAAAAAAACTAAAAATATATCCGAGGAAAATAACAACTATTTATCGCCGGACATGTTCAGCTTTGTGCATAGGCGTTATGAAAATCTTAAATCGTCACGATCCAGTCGAACGACGGGTATCCTTCTAAACACACAACAAAGTATGATCCTCTACTTGGTGCGCTTGTAGATCTTGCCAAGGAAAGCCTCGAAGACTTCCTTCTTCAGACCCTTAGACTCATCGACGGCCGCAATCTTTTCGCGCAGCTCGCCGACAACCTTCTCCTCGTACTCCTTGTACACCTTCTCCAACTGAAGCTCGTTGAAAAGGGCCTTGACCTTGGTCTCCTCAGCAGCGTCCTTGCGGCCGTAGGAAGCATCCAGGAGCTGGCGCTGCTCGGGAGTGCAGCGCTGGATGGCCTGGTTAACGAGCCAGGAGCACTTGTTGTCCTGAATATCGGTGCCGATCTTGCCAATGACAGATGCGTCACCGAAGTTGTCGAGGTAGTCATCCTGGATCTGGAAGTACTGGCCCAGAGGAATGAGGATGTCGTGGGCCTGCTTGAGGTTGTCCTCGGTAGCCAGCTGCAAGTACATCAGTGCCAGAGCGACGGGCAGGTAGAAGCTGTAGTAGGCTGTCTTGTAGGTGACGATGAACATGTACTTGTCCATGGAGAAGTTGTCGAGGTTGACGTTGTCCTCGGGGGCGGTGATGAGGTCACAAAGCTGACCCAACTCAGTCTGCCAGGTGGTCTCGTGGAAGAGCTCGACAATGTCAATGTAAGCGGGGTGCGAGCGGAAGCGCTGCTTAAGGATGAGGTAGATGCCAGCCTCCAGCATGAAGGCGTCGTTGATCGCGATCTGGCCGACACCGTCCTGGCGGTACCAGCAAGGCTGGCCACGGCGTGTGATTGAGGAGTCCATCATGTCGTCGCTGACCAGGAAGAAAGCCTGAAGCAACTCAGTCATCCAACCAAGGATGCTGAGGTGCTCGAATTGCTCTTCGGTCAGGGGCTGCTTCAGGAGAGCAAGGCCGGTATCAGGGACCGAGAGGCCACGGTTGAGCTTACCGCCGGGAACATTGACATTGAGGGACTATCCAGCACAAATGATGGTGTCAGTCATGGTTCATGATCTTTCCTCAAGAGCAATCAATCAGGAGGGGTTGCTTACCTTCTCGAACCACTCAAGCGCATTGTCGGGAAGATTGTAGCGCTTGGCATGGGCAAGGATATCCTGGGCCAATGCAGGGAAGATAGCCTCAAAGTCGGCACGCTTGGTAGTAGAAGCCATGATGACAAAGTGTGTAGTATGGAGACGTCAATGATCTGAAGAGAAACACGCAACTATTTAGAAATGAACCATTTCCCCGCGGAGGGACCGTTTGTTATGTTTGTTATGTTTGCACTGTTTGGTCTAGTGGTGCTGCTTCTCCAGGCGACGACGTGGATTCTTCAAGGCCATTGAACGATCTTCACTTTGTTTTAGACCCTACAAAGATTAATAGCTTACTGGGAACATTTGCTGCTGTTATTCGCGTTCTTTGCACTTACGCGGATTGCTGTCTCATCTATATCAACAACGCGACGAGGGCCAAGACCATTTATTTACACCACCGAACCTTTGCAACTCGAGATTGAACCCCCGTGTGGTGAGCCTTTTGTCGACTCAAATAAGGATGAGATTGAATTGTCACAAAACGTCTTGATACGCCCAAAGCTTTATCGGCGCCACAAAGTTGTGTTTGAACGTTCTACCTTAGAACACCTCCCCGCGCGCTAAAGTTGCGACAAAGACGCCCGTCATGGAAGAACCTACAGATGACGGAATCCGGGAGCTCATGTACCAGCTGGAAAATGCTGCAATCAAATGCTCTGAGCGATGCCTTTATCAATCGTCGAAATGGTATGACTATAAAGAAGCCTGATTCGAACAGGCCTGACGTGCTAATGATGTTGATGAACTCAGGGCGGCTGAAATGCTTGATTCTCTTCGGCCGTTGGATCACGAAGATACTGATCTCGAGTCTCCTATGGAGATTTCAGATCCTCCGCCAGCAACAAATCCTTATCTCCAAGTGCATGACCCAGTAGAAGCTGCCCTTGAAACGCAAGAGTCCTACAAATACCTGCTCGCCAAATCATACTTCGACACCCGCGAGTATGACCGATGTGCGGCCGTATTCCTCCCTCCGACAACACCGCCCGTTCCTTTATCGATCACCTCGCCTAACTCCAAGCCGAGGCCATCGCGGACTTCACAAAAGGGCAAGGACAAAGCTTCGCCGTTTCAAAGCTCAAAGACCCCAAAGACCCAAATACAGCAAAATCCATATCCAAAGCTCAGTCAGAAATCGCTATTCCTCGCCCTATATGCAAAATACCTAGCCGGAGAGAAGCGCAAGGAAGAGGAAACGGAAATGGTGTTAGGTCCAGCAGATGGTGGGACGGCGGTCAATCGAGAGTTGTCCGGCCTCGCTAGAGGTTTAGATGGATGGCTATCAGAACGAACCGCACAAGGGTTGGATGATCGAGGGCAGGGGTGGTTGGAGTATCTCTATGCTGTGGTCCTGTTAAAAGGACGGAATGAGGAGTTGGCGAAGAAATGGCTGATCCGCTGTGTGCATCAAAACCCATACCATTGGGGTGCCTGGCAGGAACTGAACGACCTCTTGGGAAGCACAGAAGACGTAAGTTATTCCCATCAACGTTTCCTTACGTTGTTACTAATTTTACCAGCTGAAACAAATCCTCGAACTTCTGCCGCAAAACATCATGAGCTTAATATTCTACGTCTACTGCAGCCAGGAGCTGTACCAGGCTACAGAAGACACATACAGGTCACTCTCCGAGCTACAGTCAATGTTCCCAGAAAGCGCATTCCTCAAAACACAACACGCGTTGTTGTTATATCACTCGAAAGGTAAAACTTCCCCGGCTCCGATGCAAGGCGTAGTTGATGCGTGAACTAACATCATTCAGACTTCGAAGAAGCATCCCATATTTTCGAAGGCATTCTAGCCACGTCACCCCACCGCTTAGACAGTCTAGATCACTATTCGAACATTCTTTACGTGATGGACCAACGACCTCAACTTGCGTTCATCGCTCAGGTCGCAACCGCCACAGATAAATTCCGCCCAGAAACCTGCTGTGTCGTGGGTAACTACTACTCATTGAAATCCGAGCATGAGAAGGCAGTAATGTATTTCCGACGTGCACTCACCCTCGACCGGAACTTCTTATCTGCATGGACCCTGATGGGTCATGAATACATCGAGATGAAGAATACTCACACCGCCATCGAATCATACCGTCGAGCTGTCGATGTCAATCGCAAGGACTACCGCGCCTGGTACGGCCTCGGACAGGCCTACGAAGTTTTAGACATGTCTTTCTACGCCCTGTTCTACTACCAGCGTGCCGCAGCATTACGTCCATACGACCCAAAGATGTGGCAGGCAGTTGGGTCATGCTACGCAAAGATGGGCCGAGTCGAACAGAGTATTCAAGCTCTGAAACGTGCATTGGTTGCTGGATCATTACAGCCAGATGATGGCGGGCAACCGGCTACCGGCGCAAGCCCTGGCTCTGGGAGTCGCAAGGTCCTTGACCCCGAAACCCTGCACCAAATTGCGACACTGTACGAGCGTCTCGGTGATGAAGAGGAGGCCGCTGCATATATGGAGCTCACTCTCCAACAGGAGTCCGGTGCCCCTGCCAATGAGAACCCAGATGAGGATGACTCCACTACCTCGGATAATGACCTTCAAAGCGATGCCGAGATTGAGCATTCAGGAGACGAAGACACTGATCTGTCGCAACGACATCGTCGTAATCGCAAGCCTCGCGCAAAGGCTGAATCATTTGCTATGCAGAACGATGACTCTATAGTCAGTGAGACGTGGAACGGCACTGGTGTGACAGCAACTACATCTAAGGCACGGCTGTGGTTGGCCCAATATGCATCTCGGAACGGTGATCTTGACCGTGCGGACCAGCTAGCGAGCGAGTTGTGCCAGGATGGAATCGAAGTGGAGGAGGCCAAGGCGTTGATGAGGGACGTACGGGCGAGAAGAGAGGGTGCGACTTAATTACATCGATTAAATGAGATATGTATGGACTATCATGACACCGAACCATCCATGGGTTTTACTGCTCTTCATGAATAATAGCTACGATTGGAGCGCTCAATTTCATCTCGCGGGAGCGAGGCCAGAATTAGGAGTGGCTATTTCTATATGTATGAAGAGTATCCACATCCAGTATAACTGTCATTCTTAAGAAAGCAAGGGGGTATCACTTATACAAAAAATGAGCTAGAGGTTCGATCGAGATATACTCGCCCAATATAGCAATGGCGGTTTCATCAAAGGTCATCTCAATCCATGGGGTCCTTGGTACAGAGCGCGCAGGCTCTGATGTCATGTCATAACCACAGCGATTCGATCCAGAGTGGAGCTCATCTTGTGCGATGGATATACCATCACATCGCTTGCTGAGATCCCACGAAAGACACCCGTAGAAATGATCACGTCCAATGCCCGTCCACGTATCACGCAGGCAGAAACGAAGGTCATCGGGACGTAGATCACGGTGCAACATACTTGGGCCCAAAAAGAATATGCTTCCCATAGACGGGACTCGACTTGTTCCAGTGTGGACGAACGTAGAAAGGGTTGTGGCGAGACGGTGCATTTCTTTGCCTAGCTGAGTTCCTTTCGGATCAAACAGGACAATGCCAAATACTGTCCCCTGTGATGCGGCATAGGGGTTTGATTGTTGGAGAGAAGAAGCGGATCCATCGCAGCAGAGATATCGAACGAATTCAACCAAATCACAAGACTCGCGCTCATTGCTGGACTTTTCATCAATTCGGGGAAGTGTAAAACTCCCCAGGGAGGTCTCAGGCGTCCATATGGGGATTGTTGTTAAAGGGGATTGGGGTGACATCTTGCGTTTCTGCTGGGATGGTACAGGCACCAATAGTCTTTCCAAATGCCGTTCTTGTGTCTCTTGTAATTCCTGCGATGCGATATTTCCATCATTCTGACTGTAGTTTTGACGAGACGGTAGATTCTCCTTGTCCACGAGTATACTGATCCCAGGAAGAGGATTCTTATCTTCCACGGGAAGTATTGTCTCATTGATGTAGACTAAAGGGGACAGTGGACGGTCATTGTATGATCGATCGTGGCTGCCTTTCCCTATTGGATCTCCATCCAGGCCTCCCATCAATGGACATACATCCATGAAACTTTCTTCAGAAGCAGTGGTGGCTTGTGGGATCTGGGATGACGTGGAATTTGTCTCCTCGTCGGTGTCTGAACAAGTCGCTTCTGGGCTTGGTGATCGCACAATATATTGATTGAATCCACTCCCAACCTTGAGGCGTTTGGACCATTTCTCGCGTTCTTCTAGTTCATCCACAGGCGCGGCCCGGGCATGCTCTGCTGCAGTCAGCAGTTCATGGAAAGAGGTACACTCTTCCAGCGTTCTATCCGAGTGTATCTTCAAGATCCGAGGAAATCGAAGTGTGAAGTATCTCGCACCGGACGGCTTTTCAAATCCACTACCCAGCATTTCAACGATGAATGGATGCTTGAACAAGGTGGTTGCAGTGGGAAGGGCGTTGTGTCCGTAATCAATGTGAAAGCCTTCGAACGTTTCAGGTTGACGTGCATAAAACTCGCCCTCTTGGTTGAGGGTTTGCATGGTCTGAATGTTCATGGAGTGTCGGCCAACCACATCAACAATTCGGAAACGCGGCAAAGCGTTGCCCTCTTTGACGTGCTCTGGGTTCAGAAGGCAGCCTACAAAAAACTGAGTCCATTTCAGCCCTTTTATTTGTCCCAGATCAGGAGCGTCCCGTGCGTTGTAGCTGGCGCCGACCAGGGCAACGTCTAATGTGTCTCCAAGGCCCGGTATATAATCTTTCTTGAGTTTGATCCACCGGCCAAACATATGATCCACACCAGTAGAGTATATCGGAAAATAAGGCTCGTCGGAAGCCTTCAAGACATATCCCTCCCATTGCTGAGTAATTGCTTTCTCAAAACTCTTCTCGAGCCGATGATAACTATCAACTCGGTTGAAGTCCAGAACTTCCTGACGGGCGAGCTCCGCCCAGCCAGGGATGGTCTTCACAACTTTCTGTAAGAGTAGTCGTCTTTCCCGATGAGGCTTGGCAAGACATACGTCGTTGTCAAGGAGAAGAATGTCAAAGAACATGATCATCAAGTGCTCGTACGGCTGCGGCCTGTATTAATTAGCACAATGACCTATATTTTGAAAGGGATCGTCATTTACGGAGAATCATTATCAACGCCAATCATAATACCAGATCGTGGAATAAACCTTCGAATTTTGTTGAAGTCCATAAGGCCACCATCCTGATCGTTCCATACAAGCAGTTCTCCCTCAACGATACAGCGGTGCGCAAATTTGCAGTCGGGAAATCCAGTGCGGAGAGATTCTTCTATCACAGGTATGATCTTATCTTTATCTGCGGTCGAGTCCTTGCCACTTTTGGAGAAGATCTGAATGGGGGTATACTTATTAGAGAGGTCGACGTGGATCTGACAGTATTCACCATCGTATTTCCGTTCAATGCTCATTCGTCGACCGTTGGCCATTTGATGACAATGTTTGATACTCCGGGCTTTGTAATAATCAGGTCGCCCCACCTTAATACCAGGACGAGGGTGCATATGCTTTAGAGCAATCGTGCTAAGACTTCTGGCTGATTGGGGATCCGGGTTTGGAGGGAAGTGGTTTATTGGGTCGGAAGCGAGCATGTCCAACGCCCCTTCAAAGGAGTTCTGAAACTTGAGCAGATGTGGAAGGAGAAAGTGAAATTTCCCCAGTGTATACTGTTCTGGAAAAACGACAGGAGAGTAGCTTTTGAGAATCATGCGAGTGAGCCATTTGGCATCTCGGCTACTTGATCGACGGTATAATTTCGTTAGAATTTCGTCAACATCCACAGCTGTACGATTCCGGCGGGCCAGAGGGCCAGAGAAGCGGCACCGGGATGCAATCATAGCCATGGCGCGATCGATTTCTTCTACTGTCAACTCCTGGCCTGCCGGAATGTAATTCTCGGCTTGTCGCATGACGTTTTCGACACATCCTCCGAGATCAAAGCCACAGTGAGTTTGCCATCGATTGAGTTCGGAAAGTCGCGACGATCCCAAACCCAAGCAGCGTCCGATGACTCTTGATAGCTGCATGGCTTGCAGCCAGTATACTCGGTCCGTTCGTTTTTCGGGGAACATGCACGAAAGTAACGCGACTCTGTCTGTTTCCGCATGATGAATGGCCCGTTCATGTCGAGAAAACCACTGGGCGACTGTTCTAATGTCTGGATTCTGGTTCCTGGCTGCCGTGGATGCCTTGACCGTTTTGCTGTCGTCCAGGTTGGACAGCAGATCACACAAAAGGGTGAATTTGAAGCCCATGGCCCATATTCAGCCCAGTCCACATAGCAACGCGGCTCAAAATCGGGGAATAATCTGATGTATCGAGAGTCCCGAGATCGTGACTTTCGGTCCGAACGCGAAAGAAGAAAGAGGGATGACACGTGAGCACGTGACCACTTTAAGCCCGATTTGTACGGGAGATGGGCGTATATTGTTGCGGTGGCCTTAGGCCTCACATTTAGTGCCTTAGGCATAAACCCCTCGCCAGTAGTTATCTAGTTAGCAGTTTCTCTCCTTCCATAGCAATTAACTCTCTCCCTCCTCTCTTTCTGGACCCTACAATCGGTAGATCAGTCCATAATATATACCTAATTAACTGATATGTGCCACACCACCAGAAATTGGATTATTTGCTTCCTAGTTCCGGTAGAGGTGACATGGGTCCTATTTAGAAGCTTGGAAATCTCGCAGGTATTGTGATCTCGAATACCGAGCCTGATTTCGAATTAAGGGTGTAAACTACCATCAACTCTCTTGGCTTTCGCTTCGCTATTGGAGCCTTCTCGAGAGACTCCCCGGGAAGGCAATAAGGCAACGACTGCCAACGAGGAGAGAGACCAGTATGAATGTACTGAGATCTATTATGCATTTCATTCAATTTGTGCTTAGGGTATAAAATATTCAGCCTAATGCATGCTAGTTCAAAATCCCGAAAGTGTTAGGTATATTCATATCAAATCACACTTACTGGCGATCCAATGGAGTTGTAGGCCACATAACAGTATAGGAAACCAGAAAGGTGCTGGAGGCCAACACAGGAATTCTACACTCAATTGTGACAAATTGTGACAGAGCTTGTCCCTCCATCTTCCCTCGGGCTCATTACACCTCCTCCTTGTGAACCTTGTGAGCCACAACAGAGTTAAGCTCTTGGGACCTGAGATCCGAACCTGGCAGTCCACTGGGTGAACCAGCATAGACTAGGTCACCCGACGGAGCAGTGTGAGACATTTCAGTCAGGGGAGCACTGGGATCAGGGATTCCTGCACCGAGTGTGTCCGAGGTCTCTGTCACCGACGAGCCTGTATTTATGGCTCGCTTTTTTCGATGACGCCGTACAAAAAAGGTTATTACAGCAGCAAAAATGAGCACCACGCCGAGCCCAACACCGACACCAATTCCGGCCATAACACCAACGTCATGCTTGCTTTTGGGGTTACTGCTGGGAGTGCTTCGACTAGTAAGCGTCCTGGTGCCATGGGCAGTACCGATGACACCCACTGGTGTGATGGTCGCAAAGTCAAGACCTGCAATCGTTGGCAATGCCGCGCTGGGGTTGATAGACCAGTGTGGGTTTATCGACGTGGGACAGGAAAGAGAAGAAAATGTAGATGGGGGTTGGGTATTTGCAGGCACAGCAGACCACTTGCTTTTCAGAGCATCGTAGCCGGCCAACGTTGTTGGCGTACTAACGCCAGAAGTGGTGTATGAAACCAGCCCATCGTTACTCCCTCTACGTGACGTTAGTATCTTATTAAACAAGAATAAGGGACACAACTTACTCTTCCCTCCACTCGTAGACGATTGCACCACTCCATATACTTGGCATATTAGGCTCAAAAGTCGCGGACTGGTCCCGAAGCAGCTGCGGGACAGGGATGTTGCAACCATCTTCAGACAGGAATATGGGAACCGCTAGGCTTTCTAGCTTGGAAGTCAAATCGTCGTAACGAGATCCCCCATGGACGACTTGCCACGCCACTGGTATGTATTGACTGAATAGAAGTCGATGGCCTCGGCACTGTTACCTCCACAAACAAGATATTCTCCCAAGTCTTGCATGTAGGTATACTCCGCACTTGTGGCGTACCCAATCGGTATAGAACGATGCTGCATAGCGGCAGTATACGCTTTCATATCTCGAGCCGCAGCCTTCAGATATGGGGCTAGGTGAACCGTAGAGCCTATTTTATGAATTTAGATCGTGTACAGACAGTGGGAGTATGAATTCTGTACCTTGATCCTCCATATCTGGACCGGCGACAATTTCACTTCCAATAAGAAGGCCCAGGAGATTGCTGTACCCGGCCATCGAATCAAGAACAGCCGCGTATTGTTTGAAAACGTCCATTTGCCAGGTGAAGTTGACCTTAGGGTTCGAGATGTCAGCATTCATATGTAGAGATCACCGTCAAGCGGAAATATTTACTATGTTCGAGCTAACATGCATTCCTGTCCTATTCAAAGGGGTGGAATCCCTTGGACTTGCCATGTTCGCAATCACGTATATTCCATTGTCCTGGAAAATCTTCATGCATTTATCGTGGCTCTGAGTCACATCCGTATAATAGACATTGATAGTATTGACCCCCAGTGCCTTCATCATAGGCCCATCGATTGCGCACTGGCTGGCTCTTGAATCGGCCAAAACATCGATTGGAGTTGAACCAGTGGTCCTTTCAGCATAATCGACACCTGTTGCAGACATATTAGCTTTGTATCAACCGCACAGTTGTTTATATGATATTTCTTGCCTTTGATCTGAAATCGATGGCCATCACTCAATAGTCCGTTTCCTGCAACTGAGATAATAGGCAGTGACATTGTTAAAACGCGCAATGAAGACACGACGAAAGATGGAAATACAATATAGCAAACATGGGATATATAACCAGGAGATAACAGAGACATGGGTTTGGGGGGGGTCATACCTCGGATGCTACATAGATGCCCAGTTGTGTATACTTTCCCCAACTTAGCCTAGCGCTGACCCATGAGATTACAATAAACTCGGTTGACACCGCTGTATTTTGAATACGGTGGCTACTCATTGGGGGATGGTTCTATCTCAAGTTTGTCTTCAAATACTTCGTTTATGCACAACCCTCAGGTCATGGAGTCTCTGTCTTATCAGTCTATAATGGACGCATTTGGGAAACTATTATTTGGATCGATACCCATATGGCCCATTACAACTACACAACATTGATGGAAACAGAAGAGATGAGCAATCTTTCCATCTATCGCAGGCTCGGGGTCTAATCCATTCACGGAGTACTGGAAGGAGAGATCCGCCAGCCCTTTAAGACATTTTTCTCCGTTATCAAACGCCCTCGAAGAACTTTCCCAGAACATCACGTTTTCGTTCATGAGCTCCAAAATGTTCCAGTATGTACTTTCAGTCTGTAAGTATAAAACGATTATCTCAGAGACTAGTATTATTGATGATCATAGCGTATGGAATTCAGAAGGATTATACGAGGGAGCCAATGAAAAACAGTACCCATGGCACTAGCGGAGACTACCGTACTAGTATGTTGTGTCGACTCGTTGTAAATTAGACAACTGAGTGATCCATTCGTAAGAGTAAGTTTGTTATGGAAGTCAAAACAACACATTTGAGCCCATGGGCCTGTTCAAAAATGAAAAAAAAAAAAAAAAAAAAAAGACTTTGAAGACTATGTATTCGCCAAACACCGAACCATTTGTGTAAAACTAAGGACGCCAGGCGGGAGAAATAAAAAGAGACAAGATAAATTCCTCTGCCTTTAGAGAATGCCCTGCTTTTGCAAATCCAGGTAGATCCTTTCCGGCATAACATTACCCTCTGCATCCTCCATCTGAACAACATTATCCCGTGAATCCCTGTCCTTCTTCCGATCCTTCTCGATCTGCTCCCAAAGCGCTATGGCTTCAGGGATACTGGTGATCTCACGGAAGAGATTGGTGTTAGATGTGATGCCAAGGCACTTCAGTCCGTAAATGTGGAGGTTTTCAGAGAAATGTTTGTCAAATGCTCGTCGACCCATGTAGGTGTAGTTTCCGCAAATATCGCACCGGTATTCAACACCGAGTCCATGGAGCTTGTAGAGCCAGAATGGAATAGGTTTTCCGTCCCATGCCAATGGCAGTTTCAATGGGTTATAAACGATCTCCTCGTCTTCCTCCTCCGATTCTTCACCGGCGCGAGGCTCGGGACCCGTGTGATCGAGTCCAGCCTGCACGGCTTCCCATTCCATTTGGCGTTCACGTTCGGTCATACCCTGTCGGCGCTCAACATTGATTCTTGTCGCTTGTCGCTCCTCGCGCAGGACGTTCGTCAGGGATCGAATTTGGTGTTCACGTCGTGCAACCTCGCGCTCCTTGAGACTGTGGGCTGAAGGCGTGCCTTGGGAGGCAGATGGCTTCTCGTTGGATGTGCCTGCTGCTTTGCGGGCTTCTGCCGCTCGAATGTGTTTCTTGCCGGTCAAGTGGCTCCGGTGTACGTTCTCGTTCTTGAATTCCTTCTCGCAATCTGCGCACCAAATTCCCTCGCCGGTGCCTTGGGTTGCTGGCCCAGATGTGCCATTCTCAGACTTTTCTTCTGTCCAGCCCGGAACCTCCTTCGCAGCCCATTGTTTTTCGAATTCCTGGTCAAAGCTAGCGAAAAGCTCGTTCAACGGTTGCAGTGGTTGAACTCTCTTGACGAAACTTTCCAGATAGCTAGCAAGCTCGCCAACGTAGCTGAAGTAGCGATCGGAGATCTTTTCTTTCCGCTTGATTGTCATGGCCGGCGGTGTGAAGGAGTCGAAGATGTCGAGGTATTGGACGTATGACAAGCGCTTAACTCCGGGAAGATTCAGGTAATCTTTGTGAAGATTTGTGAGATCCAGGTACTGTCCAAAGCCTTCTTCGCCAGTGAACATGTTGTCAATTGCGGTGCGGGGAGTCTCTCCTTCGGCGGTCTGACGGGGGTTGTATGCTTGCTCAAGGTTCTCGACTGGTTCGTTTGGGTAGCGCTTGTGGTGCTCTTTGATTTCCCCCAGCTGCTTGTAAAACTCCTCGAATTGATCGCCTGTCGAAATAGACTGGACTTCCTTCTCCCGCAGTCCATCGGCATCCTGGTAGATCTCCAAGAGGCGCTGGGATTGGCTCTCGATTCTCTCTAGGAACTGAGCGACTTCATGGTCGCGAGCCAAACGGCTTCGAGCCTAAGAAATTGAAATATTAGAAAACGTAATTGACATTGCTCGGCGCTACACTCACATTTCGGGGTTCCTCCGCCACGCGATCAGCGATAGCCTGCTCCAGGCGCTCTAGATCCTCATGGATAAACCGTTGATCTTCGAGCAACATATTTTCAATATGACTGCCACGTAACAGCTTCTTTTTATTGACGCGCAAAGAGTGTTGACAAAGTCCCGTGGCGATCGCAAAAGACGTTTGCAATTGGCAGCTCCAACTTGCGGGAAGGTCATGTGACCCGAACCTTTCCACCGCGAAAAGTTGGCCGGTTGACCTCACTTACTTCCTGAGGCTTCACTCTACGTGAATCCCCATAATCATTTATTATCTGCTGTTGAAATACTCAAATTTACATCATGGCGGACGGAATCGACAGACGCGCCGAAGGTATGTGGTTCCAACCTTGAGTCAACATGAAGCATGCTAACAGCAACTAGAGCGCATGGAGTTCAACACCTCCAAAGAGGTGACGGTCGCGCCGACCTTCGAGGACATGCACTTGAAGGAAAGCCTGCTTCGCGGAGTCTACGCTTATGGATACGAATCGCCTTCGGCTGTGCAATCCCGTGCGATTGTTCAAATCTGCAAAGGTCGCGACACTATTGCCCAGGCCCAGTCCGGTACCGGTAAAACTGCCACATTCGCAATCAGTACCTTGCAAGTTATCGATACTGTTGTGCGCGAGACCCAAGGTACGCATTACCCTGCCTAGTCTATCAGATCCGGCCCTAACCACAATCTGCTTTGTAACAGCTTTGGTCCTCTCCCCAACCCGTGAACTCGCAACCCAAATTCAATCCGTCGTTATGGCCCTTGGTGATTACATGAACGTCCAGTGCCACGCCTGCATTGGAGGAACCAACGTTGGCGAAGATATCCGCAAACTTGACTACGGCCAACACGTTGTCTCGGGAACTCCTGGTCGTGTGGCCGATATGATCCGTCGCCGAAACCTGCGCACACGTCATATCAAGATGCTCGTTCTTGATGAGGCTGATGAGCTCCTTAACCGCGGTTTCCGTGAGCAGATTTACGACGTTTACCGCTACCTGCCCCCCGCGACGCAGGTCGTCGTGGTCTCTGCCACCCTGCCATACGATGTCTTGGACATGACCACAAAGTTCATGACTGACCCCGTGCGTGTCCTGGTCAAACGTGACGAGTTGACACTGGAGGGTATCAAGCAATACTTCATTGCTGTTGAGAAGGAGGAATGGAAGTTCGACACACTTTGCGATCTGTACGACACCTTGACTATCACCCAGGCCGTTATCTTCTGCAACACCCGCCGAAAGGTCGACTGGCTTGCCGACAAGATGCGTGAGGCCAACTTCACCGTCTCCAGTATGCACGGCGAGATGCCTCAGAAGGAGCGTGATAGTATTATGCAAGACTTCCGTCAGGGAAATTCTCGTGTCCTCATTTCCACTGATGTCTGGGCCCGTGGTATCGATGTCCAACAAGTCTCCCTTGTTATCAACTACGACTTGCCTACCAACCGTGAGAACTACATTCACCGTATTGGTCGTTCTGGACGATTCGGCCGCAAGGGTGTGGCCATCAACTTCGTCACCAGCGATGATGTCCGCATCCTTCGGGACATCGAGTTGTACTACTCGACCCAAATTGATGAGATGCCCATGAACGGTAAGCCAATCACCTATAATCTTTCTTTTACTATACTAATGATGCTATTCCAGTTGCGGACTTGCTTTCATAATCCTCCACTAGCATTGTGATTGTAACATCTTTTCTCACGCCAAAAGCGACTTGGCTTCATTCCTTCTGGGGTCTTCTGCAAGTGGAGTGCGCTCGCATTGTTGAGTGAATATGACTCGGAATCCGGCACGATGGGTTTGAGGGAAATTCAAGGCCAGCTCTAGCGTGGAGGAAAGGGATAATAACATATTTCAGTAAGTCAACTTACTGTCCACTCCATTAACATCCAATGCTAATACTCCGAGGTAGCTTTCAAGAATGTCAACCGATTTGCGTACCCCAGGAGGTGTTTACGATTTTGTTTATTTTCCAAAATTTCGGGCCTTTGGCCTAAGTAGCAGGGACATGTTCTTTATGTTTGGAGTTTCTTTTACTTTACTTTTCGACACTAGGAATGAATGATGGAATCAGTTTTACTTTGTATACTGTGGCCCTGCTTCTTAGCCCTGCTTCTGGGTCTAGTCTAGCGACATAAGTTTGAACCAGTAGTTATGAAAAGAGATGACGGATGGAGGGATAATTGGGGAGGTGCAATATTTCAACTACACGCCAACAACGCTATTGCTCTATGGCTGCTCCAGTTAATTCCTACTATACCGAAGGTCTACATAGGAACAAGGAATATAAATCGTAGATTTGATTCAATCAAGAGAGACTCACAACAAAACACGGTTGAATCAAGAATGACCAAGAAAGCACCCCAAAAGTAAAACCCAACTCGAAACTGCACCAAAAAAAGGAATGACAGGACATATATACTCCTCAGGACCAGAAAGAAGATATGGATCAACGCCAGCTTCCTGTATTGAAAGAAATAGATGCTAGCTGCAGAGAGTAAACAGTGCAAGGAGTGGAAGGGGGACTCGAACGATGTATATGCGCAAGACATCATGAATATAATATGTCATTTGATGGGGGGAATGAAGAACACAGAAGAGAATTCAAGAAGAACAAGAAAACATTGCAAGACAGCAGGTTTATCGTCTTTCAATCCAAAGCTCCCGGTACGTTCCCTCAGTCGGATACGGTATCGTGGGGAAACTAAATAAAAAACAGGCAACGAGCGTGAACAAAACTGGTGTTGGGTAGTCGTCGTTAATGTGTAGTAAAAGAATATCAGAAAGCGGATGTTGTCCTCAATGCGCTTGTCCGCGTAAATCCATTCGAGGGTATCCCGCTGCGTTGAACTGATCCTACTGGACGGGGCCAGTTGCCCTCACGGGACCAGCTAGAAGTCCGAGTTAGCAGTGTGATCAAAATGTAAGACGAGGATAAGAATGATTCTTACATCCTTACTGCATGGTCATCGCCTGCCGATGCGAACATTCCCGGGTCTGCCGGGTTCCATGATATTGAGTTCACGCATCCGGAGATATGTCCATTGAGAGTCTCTACAATGCTTCCGTTTTCCTTGTGCCAGATGTAGACTTTGGAGTCTGGGGATAATCAATACAGTTAGTAACAATACCAGAAATGAGACGTTGAGATATTCACCTTCACTTCCGCTGACGACAAAGTTCTCAGCTGCTCCTCCGAACGTACTGCGGATCACGAACTCGCCTTGCTTTTGCCCCTTGAACTGCCGGACAACGGTAGTGGTTTCCATGTCAACTAGTTGGATCTCGCCCTCAGCCAAGTTTATAAGCATATGCCGCGAGTCTTTGCTGATAGCAACCGAGGTCGGTTTGCTCGGCAGTGGGAGACAGTAGTCCTCTTCGTATGTAATCATGTTGTACACATGGACCTTCGCTTCTGTGTCGGCAGCAACAAGGCGTCGTCCGTCCGCGCTGATGGCACAGTCCTGTACACGGAATCCGCCTTTCCACGTGTACAGAGACTGACCGCGCATGCTCCAGTGACGGAGCTGTGATTCAGCATCGAGAGAGGCTGTCACAAAAGACTCACCATCTGCTGCCCAGGCAGCTGCAGTTACCGGTTGACGGTGGTGGTTGATAGTGAGCAGACAACGGCCACTCTAAACCACGCACAAGTCCGGGTTAGCATATGATTCTGGGTGCAGCTGAGATTGTAGAAATCATTACCTCAACGCTCCATACACGCGCCTTCTTATCTTGCGAGCAAGTAATTAGTTTGGAGTCATCTGGACTCCAACTGGCGAACGCAACTCCATCCTCATGTTCTGTAAGTCTGTGGATGATGCTGAAATCCGCTGTGTTATAGATGAATACATTATGATCTTTGCCAGCAGTAACCAGTTTGGAGCCGTCGTGTGAAAACTCGCAATACCATACCTCATCCTCGTGCTGGGTCAAGTCCACAGTGACGTCCAACGGGAAATCGTTTCGGTCACACATGTGGTCAGAGTAGAGTGACGGAGTGTCGGCCGTATTATGATAAACGCAGTTGTGGATTTGAGTCTGCTTAACGCGATCTAGTAAGATCGCCAGGCGATGTTGCGGGATCATCACGGAAGGAGAAATGGATTCTGCGGCTGAATTAGCAAACCGGCTACACCACCGTCATTGGCCAGATCAAGCTTACTTGACAACTCGCCAAGCAGGCGTTCACGGGATGAGCTGACGGAGCCACCCCATCCCGGTTGGGCATGTAAGACCTCGGTTGGGCACATAAGCAGACTAACCAAAATAACCGGTAAGCAAATCATGTTCTAGAAATATCTATAGATGGGCAATACCTTGATAGGGCGTGTAGACGCTCGACGTCAAAATTCAAGGGCGTCAGTTCTTGGCGAAGAACGTTGAGAGCCGCAGGTAGATCACGCGCTTCTAGCAACTCGAGGAATTTCTGTTGTCGCAGATAGAATAGCATCTCGTTCCTGTCGGCCTCCTCCGCTAATACCAGGGTCTCCTCTTGTGGAGATTTCCTGTCGACCTGTTGTGACCCGGCATTTCGAAACGATTGAATCAAGATTCTCTCGGCTTCTGGCCATTTTCCACCTAATACCGCACTCCGGAACGTTGCAACCCCCGACGTTTCCAGTTCATAGCCGCTCTCCGAGCTCAACAGGGATGCCGACTCATTATAACCCAGCTCGTACAAACTCTGTATCAAAATCCGCGTCACCTCCTCCCGGTTGTGGCCGTAGTAGGTAGAAGACTGAGATGGCCCTTTAGAGCCATTTGTATGAGAGCTCCCATTCGTTGCCGCTTGCCCGTTCGGAGCAGTCTTCCTCGATGTCGATGCAAGGGATTCGTTTGAGGCGTCTAAGAAGCCATTTTCTGTTGATGTTCCGTCGGGACGCATGATTACCAGGCGCCTGCGCTTGGGGGAAGGAGGTCGGCCGTCCGGTCGGCCAAGAACTCGGCCGGGGTAACTCTGAGATGCGGTCTCACGTGCTATTCGTGGAAGGTGTCCGGTCCCCGCCGAGGAGGGACCAAGGATATCCGGGCTGCTCGAAAGGCGGCGGCGGCGGTTGGGCCGAGGGGTAGATGAGCCGGGTTGCTGAGATGCGGCGGACAGGAACTCTGACGTCTGGGAGCCGGGATTGCCTACCGAGGCGGAAGCTGTATTGACAGGTAAAGAAGGGTTGGGGTGGTCGGGGATGATAAGGGGATGATGTGGTGGTGGATTGTGAGCCAGTTCGACAATATCTCTAGATCTGCCCAATCCCCTGGCTCTTTGAAAGAACCAGGTGAGCAGATCTCAAGCGGTGGCGGGTGTCCGATGTCCGATAAGTAATCGCCCGGGAGCTCCGTTCAAGAGGGGCGCAGTTGTCACAAGGTCAAATTGATGGTCAGTGGTTTGTGCTAAAGTCACAGGTGTAACAAATGATCGACGAGCTGTAGATCGTCAGAAATCAACCCAGTTGTAACGTTCTCCGCTTTGAGTTGAAATGTTGGGAAACGGGTGATGGCTTATCGGGGGAGAAGAGGAGGAGGGAGAGGGCGATAAAGAGAGAACTAGTATAGGGGAATGATGGAATGACAAATATCAGACCTCAAATATCTCAAAATTCAAAATTCAAAATTCAAAATGTCGAAGAGAAGAAAAGAAGAAAAGAAGACAAAATAAAAAAATAAAAAGAATATTGATTAGGTTGTTGGGTAGCGTTATATATGTAGGTAACCCTGGAGGTTGCCTACATAACTAGGACCTCTACTGTGTGATTTCTCTTGCTACACTTCTTATGAGGACTTTACCATTTTACATAAATGACTTTTGTACTACAGTAAAGCCGTTCTATAACTAAATGAGAGCCAAGTGCAAGAAAAGTGCAAGAAAAGTGCAAAAGTGCAAAAGTGCGAGAAGTGCGAGGAGTTAGTTATATATTCCAAAGAGATTATCTATAAAGGAGCTATCTCCAATATGCGACGTTATTTCGAGTCTAGTGGATGATGATCGACATTAGTACCATAGGGAAGCTTTAGTTGAGAGCTCCCGTTGTCGTATAGACCTGAGTAGCAGACTATATAACTATATCCTTGCCGAAATCCGACTCAATATAACAATACTACATTCGATTCAGTGTTTTAGTACGGTCGCCAACGAATATTTACCATCACTAGAGCTCGTTCCCGGACAACACTTCAATGTTCTATATATATTCTCAGAAGTCCTCACTCTCCCCACGTTACAGGTGACCCAGACCTGCCACCTCTCTGGTCTCATACTCTCACGGACAAACTAAGCCATGAGTAAATGGGCATCCCTCAGCCGTGGTGGGCCACAGCCGCCACAAGAAAACATCGATAAATGGGAGAGAGCTGTCAATGAAAACAATCCCTCCATCCTCACTACCGAAGATCCTCTGAGAATGCTTCGCCGATGGCCTCTAGACCAAGCAAATTATTATTGTAACTTTTACGTCGAATGTAACGTCGACGAGGTTGTTCAAAAGGCCGCCAGAACGGATTGCCAGGAGAGTCTCACCGAGGCCGAGGCAATTATCGTTCTCAACACTCCTTTCGGCGGTTGTATCCCGGAATATCAAAAAAAAGCCTGGCAAATCAAAATCGGTGGTCCCAGAATACAAGGACAAAGTTCGATAATGCCCTTGACTTGATTCTCACGGAGATGGATACGGAGAAGAGAGCACATGCATGTGCCGATATTGCTTTTGAGCGGATCAAAGATACCAGGAGGGCCGAATCCAAGAATTTCACCAAAGATGAACTCATGAATATTGTGGGCTGCAATGCGATAGCATAGGTCAAAGCACTCGAAAAACATCTAGAAGAGCAGCCCGCGTGGGGATATGTGTGCGTACGGACTTCCTTCGGCGATGACTCGTGGGAGAAGTTCAAGGAATTCTTCGCCCATGCTACTGAATCTGCACTGGTATTCCCTCGGAACTTCCATAGATATTCTCCCGCGATGGAAGATACAGTGGGTAGAGGATCCAGCTATGGAGAATGCCTCAGTAATCGATCTTTGCAGGTAAAGATATCCCTTGAATTTTCACCTTTCCTTACCCTACTTAGCTCTAGCACCCCCCGCTGACAGATTTCCTAGCTACTTCCGACGTCTTTGCGAAGAGAACAAAGTTGAACCAGGCCTCCGCCATGACGCATTTCTCTACTCCAATGCAGAAGCCATCCAGTCAGTCATATCTTCTCCAGTCTTGCCATCGCCAGCATTCGTCATGGCTGCAGAGGCAGCCTATGATGGAACAGGACCAGAGTTTCCGCTCGTGCAACAGGGCTATGCTGGCTCGGTGCGAATTGCCATACCGCATGTTTACACGACTTTCTGGGCGAGATTAATCTCGACGGAAGAGGACATACGAGGGAAATCATCACCTATGCAGCAGACCTGGGGGAAAGCTTTTGCGAAAGCACGAATCACCCATGAAAAGACATACCCAATAAAGTCCTTCTTCATGGAGGCTTAGGACATCAACGATACCATAACAGCATGTCTAGGAGGACAATTAGCATATGACGGAAATGCCATAGTTGTCGGTACCGCGGTCAGGATCTTATCATCCCTTGCTCCAGATTTAGAATATTCTAGCCCTGGACTGTTGAGAAGAGGCATCGTTGCGTACGTATAATAGTGACACCGGGTGTCTACAGAGTGAAAATGGCGAGAAAGTGATCCACTCAATATCCAATGGGGGTTTGAATCGGATAGAAGGGGTTATATCAAGTACCTGAGGATAATATAGTTGAATTCATTGCGTGGCTTCTATATACACATAATCAATACAATTGCGAGATTTTAATAACCGTCCCGCTTCCCTTGGACTTTAGAGCTGCCCTTGGCCTTCTCTAATTCATTGAGCATACCGTCACCGAACACAGCAACGTCAGTGGTAATAGAGACCATATCGAAGCCCTGCTGTGTGCGACGAAGAGCGTCATCGCCATCGGAGCCTAGAATATATAGTGTTAGACACAAGCACAAGGGATGGTAGCAAATTCAGCACATACAGAAGATAGCAGCCTTCTTTCCAGCAGATCTAGCAGCATTTAGAACGCGTTGGATAGCAGCCTCGTGCTCCTCACCACCGCGGGTAACGCGCATCTGCTTAGCAAGGTCGAAGGGTCCTGCAAGTGAAAGAATTAGCCAGTTCCACCAATCCAAGACAGGAATATCCAATCTCACCAATAAACAAAACATCAAGACCATCAACTTTAGCAATCTCCTCTACATTCTCAACACCGGGGCGCGACTCAATCTGCACAATAACCAGCACTTCATCATGCGTCTTCTCATCGTACTCGGCGGGCTTGACACCGGGGAATGAATGAGGCGTAAACATGGGCCCGTATCCACGGACTCCGACAGGCGGGTACTTGCAGTAGCTGACGACCTTGGCGGCGTCCTCCTATTAGAGATGGAAACAGAGATTAGCAACGAGGTACCGTGACGGATAATAGTAGAGGTTACACATACTGCAGAGTGACACATAGGAGTCATGACTCCATGGGCACCGGCATCAAGAGCGCGCTTGATCATCCACTCTTCGGGCCAGGGCACACGGATAATAGGGCTAGCTCCCTCGTGGCCGACGGCATTGGTGAGCTGGGTAAAAGTGTTAATGATTAAATTCCTCAGCGCACTATTAAGGACAAACCTCGTAATAGTGGCTGTCGTTAATCAATCCATGTTCGGCGTCAACTAGGACCCAGCTGAATCCCCCTTCTGCGAACTCGGGGCTGCGGCGGAGGATTGTCTTTGCGACGGGGGCACTGGGGAGGCTATGGTAGCAGGTCTGTTAGCTTATTATTGCATTGTTGCCTTGTTGGATGAACAGGGGGACCTGATGTTGCCCCTCTCCAAATGCGGGGGATAAACATACGTCAACCAGAAGCCGTATGCCACTGGTGTGGTTTGGAGGGCGGAGCGGAGGGTGACAGAAGACATTATTTAAAACAGAGAAGAAGTTGTGTACTAGTATAGTAATAAAGAGTAGAAGGGGATTCTGTTCTTTAATATGGCTCTTTATGTTCATGAGGGGGACCACTCGGCCTTACTCCGACCGACTACCCGAGGCCCTCCCATATTTTGAAACTTATACCGTGGGGGGTATAGATATTGTTTGAGATGTTCAAAGATTCACTTGTTTTCACAAATTTGGTATTTTAGTTCTCATTGCCATGGACAACCTTGTTTTCCACATTCACCAAACCCCAACCGGAGGAAAGGTGACCGGGACCGAAGCAATTCTTTCACATCTGATTGCTTGTCGAACATTCTCGATTCCTGTCCGATGGCCTCATAATCCATGCCGAACTGCCATGGCATATAGTACGGCACTTAGGAAGCAAGAACGGCTTTGGGGATTTTGATTTGAAGCCCGCTTTAGGTCATGTACCCGGTGCAACAAATGACGACATCAAATTCCTTGAATATTGGGGCGAGTTTCTCTTCGAAGTCGAGGGTGAGGTCACTAGAAGTAAAGGTGTTTCCAAGTTTGCGGAATTTTTCGATGCGTTCCGCTTCGCCCGGCTCTTTGGCGATGATGCGGCTCTCCTGTAAGTAGGACTGAGATGGTTGTATCGCGTCTGTGAGAGCAATGGACAAGGACTTGCATAACATAGGTGCCTAGCTCACTGGCTCCGATGATGAGGATGCTGCGAGGGGTGCTCATGTCGGAACAATTCGGAGTGAAAAAGCTGTAATAGTATGAACGAGATTATAGATTCGCTCGTGTCTATTGCGTCGGATGGCTTTATACTGATGTTGATCGTGAAGCAACCTATAGATTTTGAACCAATCTTCTATTACCTTAATGCCAAGATCTCGGGATATTGTGATGCTGATAGATATATGTCCCCGACTTGGAGACATAGTTGTGTCCATATATAAGAAGAGTTTATTATACTGCTATGGATTCTATATTGAGAATACTACGTTCAGCTTTTAAAGATATAAATGAAAACGAAATAATCCCACTTCGTACATTAGTGCAACTTTATGCAATATTATTCCAGCTTCATACCTTACCCCTGTGTTCTATGAACGTACAGCACTGGGTTGTTAGATGAAGCTACTGGAGAAGTGGAGCAAATTGCGGTTACTATAACCGTAGCACCCCACAGGGAATCCCCGTGCTCGGTGGTGAATTCCCCCGAAGGCCCGAATATTCCAAAGTCATGGTGTGTTGAGCAGCAAATAAAATCTGGTGTACTATAGAAATGAAATTGTAGAACTAACTAATTTGTTCATACCTAGAAATACAGCCATATTTATATATTGGAAGTAGTCTGAATTGAAATGCCATCCTAAGATATAGAACCTTCGAACCTGTATAAGAGAATATGTGATAGAGGCGACAAGTTGTATCGAATAACTTGAATGTTTCCGATAGTGAGAATCATATATATATGCCAAGGATAATCACATGCACTGTAAAAGGCAAAAAATATAGGTTTAATTCGGTCACGATGACGCCACGGCCATTATAATTAGAAGCAACTCTTTTTTTCTTTTTTGACAATGTAGGTAACCGAAAGGGTCAGCTACCTAAAGAAAAATGCCCAGCGAGGGTTTAGTGACGCCCTTCCTGGGTGCACTGCAAGCCTGTGTTTCTGTGCTGTTGACAATGTGCTACGGTTTTGCTGCTCGTCGACTCAATTTGATCCACGAGACTACAATAAATGACATGCTGGGATTAGGCGTCAAGCTCCTCCTACCGGCACTACTCATCGTCCACCTGGGTGAGCAGCTTCATCTTGGGACAGCGATGAACTATATTCCAGTCATAAGTAATATCATAGCCACCCTTGATCAAGCCAGCATAACTGACTTATCCCATCTGTCTGTCATTACTAGTCTGGTCAGTCCTCTACACAACTGCATCGATCGGGCTTGGTCATTTATTATCGCGTCTGCTTGGCCTACCGCAATGGGTCACACCGACTTGCTCCTTCAACAACACTACATCTCTACCCTTGTTACTCCTCCACTCCCTAAAGAGTGTAGGAAGTTTAAAGCTGATCCTACGACATGGCGAAACCACATCATCGGCAATCGACCGTGCTCAGAGCTATTTCCTTGTTTGCGGCGTTATAAGCAAGACTATCGCGTATATCGTCGGGCCGAAGATGTTACAAGATGGTGGGGACAGTTTTGATACCCCAGGGGAGCGACATCGTACCACAAGCATTCTGGCAGAGGATGAGCAACTCACCGAAGAAACATCACTACTTCCGCAGCGCGCCCAAGAAGCACGAACATCAGCCGGGAACCTGATCCGGCGATCGACGCACTGGCTAGGCTCATTATGCGGGCTAGGCTCATTATTCACCCGCCGAGTCAAACAGGAACTCCTCGCACCATTCGAATCACCATTCGCGGACGTGGCAATACTCTGCACTATTGTCGGCACAGTGCTGGGATTGGTCCCCTCATTACACCGAGCATTCTTCTTCGATGAGGAAGATGGCGGGATATTCAATGCGTGGTTGACTGCGAGTATTAGGAATATCGGCGAGCTGTTCACAGCACTGCAGATCTTCATGGTTGGGTGTAAGCTTGGGATCACGTTCGAGCGGATAGTTGCAGAAGGGAATTCGGGCCGAATCCCTGTCAAGGCTATCACGACTGTCTTTGTCGTTCGGTTGGTGGTCTGGCCGGTATTGAGTATTTCGCTGATTTATGGACTGGCTAAGAGGACTCAGCTCCTTGGTGATGATCCAATTCTCTGGTTTAGTATGATGTTGATGCCAGCTGGTCCACCGGCGTTAGTGATTTCCGGGTTAGCGGAATTGGCGCAGGCATCTGAGACGGAAAAGATGGCTATTGCGAAGATGTTGACGGTATGTAGTGATGACTTTCCGGGGGAAAAGAAAACATTTCGCTGACTATATCTATAGATCATGTATGCGTTGTCGCCATTTGTATGTTTCAGTATTACGGGAGCGCTTACAGCTTCCGAGGCAGTGTTGAAAGGGAAACGATAAGGTCTACATGCCACGGAAAAGATTACAGAGAAGAGAAATAATCATTTGATTCGAGAGATGCAATTTGTTTCTCGAAATATTGGTTCCATTTATATTTGATGCTCAAAAAGGTTCATTGATTCCATCAAATCGTCACCATATCCATCGTCCACCTTGAAAGAAGAGTGTTGTAGTATTGGGAATTGGGAGTCGTGAAGAAACGGTTTACTTCTAAAATTAGACATACTGAGTTAGCCTCTGCGCCTGAAATATCATGGGGGATATCACATACTCCGCATCCCTCGCAGTTACACTTGTCGCCACATGAGCAGGTCTGGGCACCGCCAGTACAGGTGCAAGTAGATCCACAGCTACAGCCCATGATGAGAAATATAAATAAAGAATAATTGGGAAATAGTAATAGTATGTGTAAGAGTGGTTGTGGTATGAAGAGGACCTTGGGGACTGAAGAACAAGCGGGTTATATATCCGTATGACTGGCATCATCATCATGGCGTCAGTGGACAATTTATAGGGTTTTGACCTTTGGCTCTTCTTCTTTTCCTGGAAAATTGATGTAATGGAGTGGTATCCGTGTGGCAATATATGTGGAATATAATCTACGTGTCATTGACATGCTGCTGGATATTTATGAGTGGAAATACTCCTGGCGGAGAGATAACACGAAAAAGAATCACATGGTCAAAGATTGGGAGGAAACAGAAAGGAGAAGTACTAAACAATAGACGAACGCAGTTTATTTATGGCAGAGAGATGCGAACAATTATTCGTATCTCACGCCCAAAGCCTGACCGTGCGATCACCTGATCCTGACACCAAGATCTTGCCATCCGGTGAGAAGCCTAGAGAATTGATACGATCCCTATGGCCCTCGAGTGTTTGCAGATTATAGCCTGTCTGTGGATTCCAGAGCCGAATTGTTCTATCCGCAGATCCTGATGCCACCAACTTGCCATCCGGTGAGAAGGCCAGACAATTGATACGATGCTTATGACCATCATCACGGCCATCCCTCAGACTCCCGAGTACTTTTAGCCAAAAGCCTGTCTTTGGATCCCAGAGCCCGACTGTGTGATCATCTGATCCTGACGCCAGTATATTGCCATCTGGCGAGAAGGCTAGACAATTGACACGATTCCCATGGCCTACATCACCCCCAAGTGTCTTTAGACAGGCGCCTGTCTCTGGGTTCCAGAGCCGGACTGTGTGATCATCTGATCCTGACGCCAGTATGTTGCCATCCGGCGAGCAGGCTAGAGGTTTGACACGATTCTTATGGCCCTCGAGTGTCTTTAGACAAGCGCCTGTCTCTAGGTTCCAGAGCCGGACTGTATGATCATCTGATCCTGACGCCACCGTCTTACCACTGAAGGCTAAAGAATTGATACGATTCTTATGGCCCTCGAGTATCTTTAGACAAGCGCCTGTCTCTGGGTTCCAGAGCCGGACTGTGTGATCATCTGATCCTGACGCCAGTATGTTGCCATCCGGTGAGAAGGCTAGAGGATTGACACGATCCGTATGTCCCTCGAGGCGGTTTAGAAACTCGCCTGTCTTTGGGTTCAAGAGGAGGATCCGGTTATCATCTGATCCTGTCGCCACTATGTTGCCATTGGGCGAGAAGACTAGAGAATTGACATGATCCTCATGATACTGCTCAACTCCCGGGTTCCAATCGCCTGTCTTTGGATTCCAGAGCTGGATCTTGCCATTATTTGATCCTGACGCCACTATGTTGCCCTTCGGTGAGAAGGCCACAGAATTGACAGGATCTCTATGACCCTCGAGTTCTTGGCAACCGACTGTCCTCGTATTCCAGAGCCGGATCGTGTTATCACCTGATACTGACGCCACCAACTCACCATCCGGTGAGAAGGCCAGACAATAGACAGAATAGTGATCGTCGCTTAGTGTCTTTAGACAATCGCCTGTCTCTGGGTTCCAGAGCCGGACTGTGTCATCATCTGATACTGACGCCACCATGGTGCCATCCGGTGTGAAGGCCAGACAAGTGAGATTATTCCTATGGCCACGTAGTGTCACTAGAGAAGTGCCTGTCCTTAAGAATAACCGAAGGAAAAGCCCTTTCCCGTCATCTAACACCACTATACAGCCATTCGGTGAGAAGGCCATATCAACTAAAACATCATCTTCAACCTTGAGTGTCTTTAGCCAGTCGCCTGTCTCTGGATTCCAGAGACGGACGTCTGCATCTTCTGATCCTGACATCACCATTTTGCTATCTAGTGAGAAGGCTAGAGAAGTGACATGATCTGCATGGCCATTAAGTGTCTTTAGCCAAGCGCCTGTCTCTGGATTCCAGAGCCGGACTGTGTGATCATCTGATCCTGAAGCCACTATGTTGCCGTACGGTGAGAAGGCCAGACAATTAACAGGATTCTTATGGCCCTCGAGTGTCTTCAGCCAGGCGCCCGTCTCTGCATTCCAGAGCCGGACCGTGTTATCACCTGATCCTGACGCCACTATCTTGCCATTGGGTGAGAAGGCCAGACAATTGACAGGATTCTTATGGCCCTCAAGTGTCTTTAGACGAACACCTGTCTTTGGATTCCAGAGCTGGACCATGTGATCATCTGATCCTGACGCCATCACGTTGCCATTTGGTGAGAAGGCCAGACAATTGATAGGAGCGCTCGGATGTTTGATAGTCAAGGGCACAGGATTGATAGTCATTGAAATCGGGGCTTCCATCTTGTAGTCTGGTTAGAGGGCCACAGAAGTTAATAAAATGACTAAAACGCTTGAGTATCTGTAGACACTTACCTGTAGCTGGATCCTAGGGCTGAAATAACTTGTCACGTAAGGCTCGCTAACGTCGGAGGTGAGGAATGAGTCTGTAAAGACCGACAACGCATTTTGCGGGTTATATTTGACGACAGTGGGCTTAATAAGTCAGGTAAGCGAGGATATTGCATATTGCACTACCGAGTGGGTCAGCAGAAACCATATTTTGTGTTGTAGTGCACGACAACAGGAGTCACAAACCTAGAGTACCGTTTGCTAGGTTTTACGATTCTTTGCAGATCATTCAGCCAGCCACCTCTGCTGCTCCACAACATGGTATGTACCCATATATGACGTAAATGATTTGGAGGATTACAGGCTATTGCCAAACAACCTAACCCCTATGCGGGTGTTGGGTTACCACACCGTAATACCTAGGGTTCGACGAACGTGTCGAGGGTCGCTTCCAGCGTACAATCGCGAGCGAGAAAAGAAATGTGGGGTAGAGAACTGCTACCAGCGGCCAAGCAAGAATTTCCGAAAGGAGTGGGGTATCACACAAATGACGTCACCAGAGTATCAGTCTCAGAAAAAGAGAAGAACTGATGGAGTTTCAGTCGGAATCCAGCAAGGGCTCAGAACCGGTTGGCAGAACGAGAACAAGGAGTAGACTGGAATGACTGTATTGATTGAATCAACAGGAGACTGGGGAGAGAAGAGAAGAGAAAGAGAGGCAGGTATTACTAGCCTGACAAACCAGGCAGCCATCTAAGATCACGTGACCGCAGGCTCCAACACTTGCGTACTACAGTAAAACCTGTTTATAACGAACCTGGTTATAACGAATACCTGGATATAACGAAGTAATACCGGCCCACCAATTAATCCGCCATAGTAATAACGAAATTACCTCCTTACTACGAACTTCGTTAATTCACCATTCCTCTCCATACAAAATTCGTTATATCGAGGTTTTATCTCCACTTTTTCAAGCATTCCCAACCAATCAAAATGCCTCGCCGATCGATCCCAACCTCCCAGAAAGCGGCACTACGAGAGCAGCGCCGAATCAACCCTTTACTCTCTAGTAAAGAGCTCGCTCAGTGGTTTTATGAAGTCTATAACCATCGTCCCTCGCCCTCTACGATCTCCGAAATCCTTTCCTCCTGATACCTTTATATATGAAGAGCAGCAGGAGCAGGGAGAAACCCAGTTAATTAGTGCGCTTTATAGGCATGAAAGGTTACTGGAAGCGAGGAAATTGGAAGGGAAGAAGCAGAGAGATATTAGGGCTTTTTTTAGAGCATAAATTTGTATGTAAACTAGAAATATATATATTTTATATGGCACCTGGATATAACGAATACCTGGATATAACGAATATTTCATCGTGTTTCAATTAATTCGTTATAAACAGGTTTTACTGTACTAGAACCGAGTAAAGAAGCTGATCGTTATCGATATTCTCCCTCCATCCCTAGGGACTTTTGGGATGAATTTTTAATAGCACAATTCCTCGATCCGTACTCTCCCCTACTTATCGCAAGATTCACCACATTTTATGATGTAAGCAATAACTCTACGTTATTATTACAAGATCATGTATACTACCAACGTAGGCAGGAAATGCAGAAGGTCGGAGGTAGAGCTGACGGAGGCAAATAAGGTTTGCTCCGATCTGGTTGGGGACCGGCCCGGACCTAGCGCCGACCTCAGACTGTGATGCCAAGACTCTGGCTTTGATCTCTTCAATACTCGGGTGCCGACCTACCTAGGTATCTAGTTAACCGATCATCATTATACACGTTTTTATTACCTCGGGTATCATTCCCTTTATTTCCTGTCGGATGTCTTCGGCGGGGCGAGTTAGTTCATGATGATTCATTCCTATTTGGCAGCTACCAAGCAAAGCATTGGTAGGGATCAGCAACTGTTGCTGGTTTATTCATTCAAGGAATTAAATAATTCATAGGATAATTAATATCTGCATACCTTCATACAAGAAAAGAATAAACCATGCGTTGAGGTATTTCTCAAGTTTCCAATGAGGGAAAGGGGTCAAGAATCAGAGAAAGCAACGTTAGGTAGGCACTTACTCACGTGATGATACGCCTAACTAATCACCCTATGCGAGAGAAGCAGGACGACGGATGCTCACGTGAGCATCCCATAGGCGGTCAAATACCCTAGCGTGAGCTTGTTGTACCTTCCATTTATTTTACCCTCGCCTTGGTGCAGCACAACCATTGGTTTCCACCGCAGTGATGCACAGGATCTTTACGCAACCTGTGAAGCCCTTCAAGTGGCCACGTCTTTCTATCCTTTTTATGCCGGACTTCAGGAGGTCATTGCACAAAAACTGGAACTCGGTCGACGATTTCTTCCAATACACAAGGGGACGATTTGTATCAAATGAAGAACATGAACTGTCAATACGTCGGGTGAAATTTGATATGAATGAGCTTGCGAGGCTTGCCGCTGATTCTGTTGGCTCAAGGGAATGTGTCCATATCGAAAAATTCCCCGATGGCATGTTCAACAAAACATTCCTGTTCACCATGGCAAATGGCGCTGAAGTGGTCGGAAAGGTGCCAAACCCAAACGCTGGACAGCCTCATTTTACGACAGCAAGTGAGGTTGCTACAATGGATTTTGTAAGCCGCCCTTGACTCTATGTCTACCTACTCCTTTATGATCACTGATATTCGTAAGGTCCGTAATGTCTTAGGTACTCCTGTTCCACGTGTTCTAGCCTGGAGTTCAAAAGCAGGCGAGAACTCTGTTGGTACCGAATACATCATCATGGAAAAGGCTGCAGGTGTCCAGCTAAGTCATGTCTGGCGCAATATGGGCATCGAAGATAGATTTGAAATCGTGAAAGCAATCTCAGGATACCAAAAATCTTGGTCGTCTACTCCCTTCACCAAATATGGGAGCCTTTACTATTCATGCGACACCGACTATCAGAAAGAATGTGTTTTAGTAAATAGCGATGGCACTCATGCCAGAGAGCCTCGGTTTGCTATTGGGCCATCGACAGGTCGAGATCAATCTGATCATGGAAGGGTATCAATCGATTTTGACCGCGGACCATGTGAGTCGTTATTTTGGGTTGGTTTATATTTCTTCGCTTATAGAATAATCATTTCTAGGGAATGATGCTTTTGAATATCGTCGCGCAGTTGGTTTACGGGAGATTACCAGCGTACAAAGCATTACCGACCTTCCCCGATCCCCGCTGAGTCTTTATGGACCCGATACATACTACCCGACCCGGGCTAAAAAAATAGCTGCTCTACACAGTTACCTTCGGCTGGTGCGATACCTCTTACCGACTGACAAATCGATTATGGCGCCCTTCCTATGGCATAGCGACCTTCACACAGAGAACATTTTCGTCAATCCGGAACGGCCCACAGAAGTTTTGGGCATTATAGATTGGCAATCAACTGAAGTATTGCCTCTATTTGAACATGCCCGCCAGCCGTATTTCCTGGATTATGATGGACCTTCTGTCGAAGGCCTTGAACCCCCAACCTTACCCGAGAATATCAGCGAACTTTCGTCAGCGAAGCAACTCGAAGCTGAGCGTCTCTATATAAGTATGTCTCTCTCGGCGTTGTATAGAAATCTCACGTATCGCGACAATCCGGTACTATACAAAGCGATGGAGTTTCGGCAGACCAAATGCTTCGAAATGATGCTACTTGCGCAGAATATTTTGGTAGACGGGGAGGCATTATACCAGGCTAGTGCTCTAGATCTGGAGAAAGAATGGCCAGATATACCAGGCGTCCAAGCATTCGGAAATACTCCTTTCCCAGTGAGGCTGTCCGATAGTGAGGTTAGATCACTTGAAAAGGACGTTTCAGGTGCCATTCGAGGCATGGAGTTGATGGCGGATGTCAAAGATTCGCTCGGCGAGTTATGGCCAGAAAAGGGAGTCGTGAGGCATGACCAATATGATGATACGAAAATGCTCCTGAATCAAGCGAAGGCCCGCATACATGACCGGCTGAAGTCTTCCGAAGAAGAGTGTGCATGGGAATATTTATGGCCGTTTGACAGTTAAGTCGAAGCGTTCGAGTATTTTATTTGTTCCCCTTTCTTGTAAATTCTTCTACGTTATCAATTGGACCTAGTTCTGAGAATAAAGACGCCATCCACTCTTCTTCTAGGTAACGTATTCGATAATCGAGACGTCGGGCGAGTATTTGGAACTGCGTGTAACTGGCAGATACTTTGAACTCGCTAACTCGTCAGTACGTAGCACTTGATGGAAATTTCGTGATGCAAAGTCATGCAGGGCTACCTTGACTTAATTGGTCCCAACATGCACGAGCTCCAGCTCTGGGGTCAAATTCAGCGGTCTCGGCGATCAGCCCTCCAATTTGACTCGCTCAAACTGGCCAGTGTTAAATAAGGTACGGAGTACTCCGTACAAACATACTTCGTACTTCATATGTTAATTTATTTTCCCCCGAACCCCTCGAAACCTGCCCAATCACAGTGCTCGGGAGCACCGGACACTAGAGATGCCAAGATTGCCAAGACTAACTATCGAACATGCACGACCAATTTGGGAATAGACGGAAATGAAGCCAGCTGCCTCAACACTTCTTGATGAATTTTTCTCCAAACCGGCGGTGTAAGAAAATATGGGCTCGTTACTCCATTCTCTCTCTTCTAACTATATCTGAGCCTTATGCTCATAGTTATAGACCAGGCTCTAGCTAACTAATATATAACTATAGTGCTTGACATAACGTATCGACGATCAATCATATGCAAGAATGAGACCAACTAGGCAACACAGAGCGTGGATCTGTGAATCTCTCAACCCACAAGAGATTTTTCCGATATCCATCAAATATGAGTAATGTAACGTTCCCTTTTATGCATTCCCATCAATTAGCCCAAATTATGCGCCGATGCCCAATAGACACGAGATCGATAAAACGGCCTCTCAGGAACGTGGCAGTACTGTACAATAGCCAAGAGATCATCACATGGGGCTGACTATCTTAACCTACGTTACACATCTGATTTCAACTGGCCTTTACATGGCATTATACAGGATTCCGTCCTCCGTATGCCGTAGGCTAGATAGACATGGCGGCATAAATTTGTAAAATCGGGCAAGCGTACAGTACTAATGTACTCGCACCAATAAACATCTGCAGGAACGAGAATTTTTGTTGGAGTATGCAATATGCTTGTGTGACTATGCAAGACGCCATGCAGGGCCAACCCGACCAGACCCGCAAGGGGTTTCAAGCTGAACCCTTCCTCAGGTCCACCATTTTCCTAATGATGTACCGAGTATATATGTAGCCTTTCCCCACAGTAGCGTAGATTTGAAGAATTATTCCTCTACTAGTGACCTCAGCTAGCCAGCCATCATGCGTCTGCTTTCAATACTCGGGATAGCCAGTCTTTCCATTTCGGGGGTCTCGGCGGCATTGGCAATTGAGGGAGAGCCAAATGTCAATGACACTCTCGTGCTGCAGCATCTCAAAGACCGCCAGAAGCTGATCGCGTTGGAAAAGACACATCGACAGGGTTCGTTTGAGACAATCTTTTAAATCAAATAGAACCTGACCAGTCACCCAGATCATATCTTCCGACAGGGTCTCTCCGCAACTGCCAAACGGGCTGATGAGATTGTTCAAGCAATTCGACAGGATGAGATCGACCATTACTGGCGAGTAGCTGGCACTCCGGACGGTACGACGGAGGAACGGTTCGCAGGAGAGGTGTTCCCCCTTGCCCGCCCGTATATCTCCAACACGACACTTTGGAAGGTGATCAAGCGTATGCCCAAGGGCGCGCTTTTGCATGCTCATCTATCAGCCATGCTGCCATTCGAAAAGATTGTGGAAATCATCATCCATACCGAAGGAATGGTAATTTCTGCGTCTCAGCCTCTTGACACCGAGGACGCCAAGCAAAATGCCACTATCACCTTCGGCCATAATAACGGCACTCTTACGAGCAACCAGTCCAGGATTGACGCTGCTGATTATATTCCTAACACGGAGATCCCCGTCAAAACCGCTGCGGTCAGCTTTGAAGATGGTGAAGCGGGTTTCCTTGAATTTATCAGAAGTAAAACTACCATTGCACCGGAGGACTCGATCCGTCACGAGTTAGGTGTCGACGAGGTTTGGAGAAAGTTCCAGGCCTGCTTTGGTCCGGCTGATACCATGGTCCAGTATGAATCCGTCGTTAGGAAGTTCTATCAGAAACTCTTCGAGGATCTGGCAAGCGACGGTATTAACTGGGTGGAGATCCGAAGCGGCGGGTCCAGTGGAAAGTTAGTTCACAATGGAGACGAAGACATTGACCCCGACCTCGACGCCTGGTGGCATGTACTGGTTGAGGAGATTAAGAAGTTCCAGGCCACGGAGCAAGGCAAGAGATTCTTGGGTGTAAGAATTATTTGGTCGGATGCGCGCATAAAGAACCGCGCTGCAATCACCAGGAGTACGATAAACACCCCGTTTAACTAAAGCCAGATTGCTGACCTTGATAGGCATGAAAATTGCACTTCAGAGGAAACAAAACTTCCCAGAGCTCTTCAGTGGCTACGATCTGGTTGCCCAAGAAGATCTCGGCCGTCCTTTGTCTGATTTGGCACCGGAACTGGTATGGTTCCGCCAACAGACTGACGCCTTGAACCTCACCATTCCTTATTTCTTCCATGCTGGTGAAACCCTGGGAGACGGGAACTCGACAGATTCGAACTTATTCGATGCAGTCCTGTTCAACACGCGACGAATCGGTCACGGCTTCTCCTTATATAAACACCCGAACTTGATCCGTCAAGTAATTGAGCAAAACGTTATGATCGAAGTATGCCCGATCTCGAACGAAGTCCTTCGTCTGAACGAGGATGTTCTTCACCATCCATTGCCGGCGATGATTGCCCACGGCATTCCGACTGCCATCAGTAACGATGATCCAGCTATCCTTGGACAGGATGTGGCAGGTTTGAGTTATGATTTCTATGAAACCATCCAAGCCTTTGATAATATTGGTCTCGCCGGATTGGTAAGTTATCCTCGTTTGAAGATTCGTGCTGCTTGCTAACACTAGAAAAAAGGGTGCGCTGGCACAAAACAGTCTACGATGGGCAAACTTCGAAGACCAGTCTGATAGTGATTGGGTGCAAGATATTGACCGCGGCGAGGATGGAACTGGTACCAAAGCTAAGCACATCCAATCTTGGAACAAGGACTGGGAGGACTTCTGCAAGTGGATTGTGGACGAATACGGGCCCAAGTACCAGACAGTAAAGATGGACTGAAGTTTTGGTGCACTGTGACATTAATTAGACACATGTGGTGAGTGTATCCATCACTTAATAGTTTAGCAATTTAACAAACGAACAACATAATTGTCGACATGGGAAAGTCCTGCCAAGCCTGAATTTTAGCCAGTTATGATATTTGCCATGATAAAATGTCGGTTACTCTTATCTTGTGTATGAGTAGTTTATTTGAACTAGAAGGAGGATACGGAGCCGTGAATTTAAGTGGTAGCTATAATAATCTTCAGGTTCAATATAATTTGTTGCTTAATTTTCCAAAAATTACAATGGATATCAGGTTAAGATACATAAATGGCATTTATAAAATCATGCCATAAAGAAATGGGAAGGAATCATCCTCCACGCAAAGATAAATCCCATACCAAAAGTCACTGCTGCAGTAAAAGCCGCGAGAAGACCCAGTCGCGCTAGGCTTTCAATACCAGGTTTCTCAAATTTGGTCTTTCTTTGCTCGCCCAGGTGAGTGGTGCGAGTGAGACTAGGCACGTACTTGAACTCAAAACGCGACTCTTCACCAAGGCCCATCTTCTCATCGAGGATTAGCTTATAGTAGTATTTTCGGCGGAGCTGAGATACCTCTTCGTTAGAATACTATATCCAAAAGGTGTGGCTAGTTTCACATACCGAAATCATAATCCTGTCGATGAAATATATCTTCGGCACAATATATGAAATAACGATGACCCAGAAACAATATCCCCAGATCAATATGCGATAGTATATATTAGTACGAGGAATGTCAAGCTCGTCGGCCAGTTGATGCCCATTAAGTAGTCGAGTCATGGCCTCCATGAATTCCTTGGATGCGAAAGCCGGCGCTGTGTTCTCCAGACCAATAATGATATTCTTAGCCAGGACCTTCCCAGTCTCCGTGGGATCGATCTCCGAAATCAGAAGCGACTCCATCATTGCACGAGCCTTGGCTGTACTCTCAAAGGGATCCGTTGGTGTGCCCATATAGTACGCAACCAACCTCCACAGCGCGATATAGTCATCCGTCTCTTGCTGGGTGGGGTGGATGCCTTGTCGAGGAAGACCCAGCCATAGCACCGCGCTGCTGAATGTGTTGATTGTTCCAATGCAGTCAAGGTCATTTATCGGTATTCCGTACTCGTCAACATCGTAGTATGTAGGGGTTTGGTCCACTAGGCTTAAGATCTTCTTGCGGACCGACGAATGCAGCAGTCGGACACGAATGCATGAGATGTGACCGTCACCACCTGGCTTCATGCCTTCCGCTGAATTGTTTACCTGAAGTACATGCTGAAGTGTCTCGAGTAGTCGTCGGCGTACTACCTTTGCTCCGAAACCGCCCGTCCGTGAAAGGGTTTCGACGACTCGTATTGCTCCCCTACACAAGGATTAGCTTTTATTTCACATTCATTGGCAAGGGACTGAAATATGCTCTTACATCCCACCTAGTAAGCTTTGAAAGCTTAGCTGTCGATGAGGTCAGCTCGCATCTCAAATAATACTTCATGCAACCACTCACAACATTGAGAATCGGAAGTCCATATCGGAAAAAGACATCCTGGCCCCGTCGGATTTGATCCCAGTCAACCCACTCTGGAACAGTGTTGATCTCAGTCCAGAGCTCGCAGAGCTTCGGATCCTCGTCCGCATGATCCCTTAGTAAGCCATAGAGGTCTCTTTTGAAAGGTTGTTTATGGACACGGTCATGCGGATGCAACTTTGCTCAAGCGCTCCACGCATTCGTCGGCTAGGGAATCACAGCTGTATATCAACGATTTAAGGTCATCGGCAGAGGAGTGGAGGTCCGTCCAATGAAAGGAGTAATCCCAGTAGTGGCACTCGGTCCTATTTCCGCTCTTGGGACTCTTCAAAGCCATGACTCTGATGAACTCAGAGTAGAAGTAGCCCAAATATTTTGTGTTTGTGTTTCTAACCAACGTGCATAATGAAGGATCTATTATCAACTATATATTGGTTGAAGCCAGCATGACAGGTGTTCCTGTGATCTGCCCACGGTCCGGGGAAGAGGGGTTAGGGCATCATGACATGTGAAGTGACTTCTTCAGCCACTAAGATTATCGACCCCGGATTTCCATATCTGGTTAGCTTTACCATTTTAGGTTTGATACCCGCCACTTCATCGCCCTCCTCTCCATTTCTCTTTCACTTCTTTCCTTTATATGATTAGGTTACTCAGACTTCACATCGAACTAATGCATACCCGGTATGGACCTTGGATCTACATCTACAATGGAAGGGATGACATGGCCCATATTCACAGCAAACCTGAATGATGATGTCGAGCAGTGGTTTGGAGGGAATGGTTCCCAACAGATGGATATAACATTGTGACCGTTCTTTGTGGTAGACTGAAATTACGAGTGCTTTAGTGAATGCTAAGTCACAGACGTGAGGGCACCACTCGTTACCAGCCGTTTCCGTCGTCAGATTCAGAGCTCACCAGTGACTCTTCCCATAGAATCCCAAAGGAATCTGCCAGAGCACGCCAACATCACAAGTAGTCCATATAACACCCATAGTAAAACGAGTAATGCTTTAACTATGCTACAGCAGGTCAGATTGATACGAAGTGGAATGGAGACAAAGCCGAGGATATAAGACAAGTTTTACTGGGATAAGAAGCAGACAAGAATATGGCCTCACTAGGCATAATGATCCGAGAGACCTTACCTTTTGATACGGTCTAGCTATTAAGTCCCATCATGGAAGTTGGACCTTCCCAGGTTTGAGTCCTAGCGTCTCATGTATTTATAGAACAGGAATAATCCAACAGAAGGAAAGAAATAAGACAAAATCAAACCAAGAAATATATCCGAAGTTACGAGTGGAAATGCAGTCTCTGACCTCGCAGTCATCTCCAGCGTCAACTTCCAAGCTACTTGGATCTTGAGTGTTAAATGTGGATTGGACAATATTCATAGGTAAGTGTTTATGTGTTAGCTCTTTGACACCTCTTTGACAGTTTGAGACATTATCCGACCCATGCTGTGCAGCCTTAGTATTCTTTAGCCTAATTACTCTGCAGGGGGTGGGCTGCAACACAGTGGTTTCAACTTTCCATATTTCCCTTTAATCTCTAGCTGATACATACTGTCTTCCAAGCTTGGAATTGAAACCTTGCCACCCATTCTAGAGACTTGTGCTAATGGGCTTGTATGCTCCCTTTGATAGTCCTTTGACTTCCTTTTCTCAGCTCAACGCCCTTTGAATTTTTCACGTTTCATTGATACCCCCCAAGAAGATGTTTAGAATAATGGCTTGATGAGGGACGGGGTTGCTCATTGGGCTCTGGACTATAAATGCTTGCGGTTTTCACACGGAGACAACAGTTTCCACAGAATTTTCAAACACTTCGCCAGAGAATATCAACCGTCATGGAGCCAAGGCCAACCATCAAGTTCAAACTGAATGGGGTATCCACATCCCAGGCCGATATCGATCACTTGGAACTCCAAGCTTGCTATCGCGCTCTCGACAACCTGCGAAGCTTATTGTTCCAAGCACCGATGCTGGATCTTCTGGACGACCAAATCGACGAAGGAAATCACTACTTTGAATCGCTGATTCGAGCCTCTCGGGGGAATTCAGAGAATGCAGAACCTATATGAAAGCAACCGAGGTCTCCGCGACAGAGTTGAGAACAATCTGCCACCGCTGGCAGCTCTCCAAACCCATCGACGAGATGGCACGGATGTTTATATTCCCAACGCACCCGGAAAACTATGTCGTGATGCATTCACCAGGAGCTCCGGCCGAAAATGGGCCGGACTGCGGGGTGGAGGTCATCGGGGGGCACATGGCCAAGATTCAATATGTTGATCTCATGGACAGCGAAATTCCGAAGTGGTTGGCGGATCAGCGAGAGGAGGAGTATGAGATGGTGGAGTACTTGGTTGCGAAACTCGAAACTGGAAGCAAGTTCTTCTATGTCATGAACGAATTCATGGATACCGAGGGTGGTTGCAAGATCAAGCTGCGGGCCTTTTTCCCCTCTGCTTCGCCCTGGTCATTGGTTAATCAACATGCTGAGCATCTGGCGATTGAGTTTCGAAATCTTCTCCAAATGGTTTATGGGGCGATCGAAGAACTTGAAGACAGCTATTGACCTTTCTTTTTTGCGACCAAGAGAGAGAGATCTTCACCGTTAGCCCTTAGGAAGAGATATCATCGGTTATCCTAGATCGTCAGTTTTTTTTTCTCAAATGTTTTTTCTGCAATGCAAGCAATGTTGAATTGATTTTCATGGAGGTCATTGTGGAGTAGATCCAGTAGAGCTCATCGAACTTGTAAGATGAACCAGATGTTCAGTGATTCGAGTAATTTCAGTGAATCGAGTAGTTCAGAAAAGCTGCAGAGAGACAAACCAATTAGAAAGCTTCCACTATTGTAAGACCATATTGTAGAAAAAAGCCACCGGCGGTACAAGCCAAGCTGAAAGATCGGCTTGCATGGCCACAATTCGGTGCGCGGGGAAGAGACGGAGGATTGGACGAGTAGGTCAGGGGAACTCCACGACCGACAATCGAGATTCAGTTTCCAACACCTTTGACCTGCAATCCAAAAGCGAATGCTAGGCCTGGGACGTCCTCGATTGAAAGCGCGGGCATCGTTGTTGGATCTGATATCCGCAAAGCGTACGTTGACACAGCCATCACCGCCCGCCGAGCTGCCACCGCTTCCAGACTCGCCCTCCTCAACTACCTTCACCCACTCCGTGTCCCCCCATTCCACAAAGGCTTCTTCCATTATGAGTTCAGACGATTCTGAGAAACCTGGCTCGATCTTTTCGGTCTCCGGCCCTGTGGTCGTGGCCGAGAACATGATCGGTTGTGCCATGTACGAGTTGGTAGGCAGCCCCAGCTCCAAGAGCGTGGAGAACCCCAGATACTGACGGCATAGTGTCGTGTCGGTCATGACCTGCTTGTTGGTGAGGTCATTCGTATCGAGCAAGACAAGGCCACGATTCAGGTCTACGAGGAAACAGGTAGAGCTCCGCAGCCCCCCAAACCCGCATGGTTTCATCATAAACCCCCCCCAAAGAGCTATGCTGACCATTGTGACCTTTCAATAACAGACGGCTTAACTGTCGGCGACCCGGTGACGAGAACAGGCAAGCCCCTTTCAGTTGAGCTTGGCCCCGGTCTGATGGAGACGATTTACGACGGTATTCAACGACCCCTCAAAGCCATCGCCGACCAATCGAAGGGTATCTACATTCCCCGTGGTATTTCGGTGAATTCCTTGGACCGCGAGCGCAAGTGGGAATACAAGCCTACTAGCTTCAAGGTCGGCGACCACATCACTGGTGGTGACATCTGGGGTACCGTGTTCGAGAACAGTCTGGTGAATGACCACAAGATCCTACTGCCTCCTCGTGCACGGGGTACCATTACCCGCATTGCTCCCGCTGGCAGCTACACCGTCGAAGAGAAGCTGCTCGAGGTGGAGTTCGATGGTAAGAAGACTGAGTTCGGTATGATGCAGACCTGGCCCGTTCGTGTTCCCCGCCCGGTCAGCGACAGGCTGTCCGCCGATGCGCCCTTCATTGTCGGCCAGAGAGTGTTGGATGCTCTCTTCCCCAGTGTGCAGGGTGGTACTGTCTGTATTCCTGGTGCTTTCGGGTGTGGAAAGACTGTCATTTCCCAGAGTGTGTCCAAGTTCTCGAACAGTGATATCATCGTCTACGTTGGCTGCGGTGAGCGTGGTAACGAAATGGCTGAAGTGTTGATGGATTTCCCCGAAGTACATGTCCTCCCCAAAATTACTGCGATGACATTTTACTGACTGCCTTTTCTTTCCCAGCTCTCTATTAACGTCGAGGGCCGCAAGGAGCCTATCATGAAGCGTACCTGCCTGATCGCCAACACCTCCAACATGCCCGTCGCCGCTCGTGAGGCCTCTATCTATACCGGTATCACTATCGCCGAATACTTCCGTGACCAGGGCAAGGACGTGGCTATGATGGCCGACTCCAGTTCCCGTTGGGCTGAGGCTCTGCGTGAGATCTCGGGTCGTCTGGGTGAGATGCCTGCTGACCAGGGTTTCCCCGCGTACCTGGGAGCCAAGCTGGCCTCCTTCTACGAACGTGCCGGAAAGAGCAGTGCTCTTGGCAGCCCCGAGCGTGTGGGCAGTGTCAGCATCGTCGGTGCTGTCAGCCCGCCCGGTGGTGATTTCTCTGATCCCGTCACTAGCAGTACCCTGGGTATTGTCCAGGTCTTCTGGGGTCTTGACAAGAAGCTGGCGCAGCGCAAGCACTTCCCTTCGGTCAACACCTCCATCTCCTACAGCAAGTACAACACAATTTTGGATAAATACTACGAGAAAGATCACCCCGAGTTCCCTCGTCTGCGTGATCAGATTCGTGAGCTTTTGGCCAAGTCCGAGGAACTGGACCAGGTCGTCCAGCTGGTTGGTAAGGCAGCGCTGGGTGATTCGGATAAGATCACTCTAGACGTGGCCAGCTTGCTTAAGGATGACTTCCTCCAGCAGAACGGATACAGTGACTACGATCAGTTCTGCCCCCTGTGGAAGACCGAGTACATGATGAAGGCCTTCATGGGCTACCACAACGAGGCCCAGAAGGCTGTTTCTCAGGGTCAGAACTGGAATAAGGTCCGTGAGGCTACTGGAGATCTCCAGAATGCTCTTCGCAGCATGAAGTTCGAGGTTCCTGAGGATGAGGCGGAGGTCTCGGCCAAGTACGAGAAGATCCTCCAGTCTATGACTGAGCGATTCGCCTCGGTCTCAGACGAGTGAAAGTGACATCTTGACTTAGCATGTATTTTCCTTTAGATGTTTGTTCAAGCACATTCCCCTGTAGTTATTGTGTCCAAATCAACTTGCTTTCTTTTATTTTGGTGACCCTAAAAACGTTTGTATAGTTTCCCGATGTACATGTGGCCCGTACGTGTCAGGCAGCACAAGGGTTGTGCACATGACCTGAGACCAAAGCTATTAAGTTATTTGACAGGTAGAATTATTTGTATTTCTTCGAAATATCTAACCCATAATACACTATATCATCGTGAACCACTACCTACTTGGGTTGCAGCCTAAACGAAGAGAACCCGAGAGAGAGACCGCTCTGGACGCCACTACATCACCGCCTTCGAGAGTCAACCAAACAATCCCTCTTGCATCGTGCACCTCCCCCGGTTCTACCTGATTTCAACTTCTCTTGTTGCCTCGTTTTTTCTTGTTTTTGCAATATTTCTTGCCTAGCAGCAGTTTTCATATCCCAAGTCGCCAGCCATGGCAAGCCCTACGTCCGGCTACTCGTGCGTAAACCCCCTGTCCCTTTCCGATGCGGTCTGGCTAATCTCCGTGTAGCATAAATGTCAATGACCCCAGCTTGATTTCGCTGGTTAACAAGCTTCAAGATGTGTTCTCCACAGTCGGTGTATGTATATCTGCTCAAAATTAACAGCTCAATTGTGATTCCAGGGGCACCATGTGTGCTAACACCACCCTCTCGATTTAGGTACAAAACCCGATCGATCTGCCCCAAATCGCTGTCGTTGGATCGCAATCCAGTGGAAAGAGCTCAGTGCTAGAGAATATTGTCGGTCGAGATTTGTATGTTGGTTATTTTTGGGAGCTTGCGCGGCCCCCCCGTCCACAGCTCTGGTGGCGGGGCATGCGACACAATGTCAATAATAATTGCTAACTGAGTTTTTGCCTTGCAGCTTGCCTCGTGGCTCTGGAATCGTCACTCGGAGACCTCTTATCCTGCAGCTGATTAACAAGTCCCCCACCACAAATGGTGAGACCAAGTTGGAGACAACGGACAGCGAATCCAACGTGAACGAGTATGGTGAATTCCTGCACCTCCCCGGCGAGAAGTTCTTCGATTTCAACAAGATTCGGGATGAAATCGTGCGCGAAACGGAAACTAAGGTCGGAAAGAATGCCGGCATCTCGCCCTCCCCAATCAACCTGCGCATTTACTCCCCCAACGTCTTGACCTTGACCCTCGTCGATCTGCCCGGTTTGACCAAGGTCCCCGTCGGAGACCAACCGAAGGATATTGAGAAGCAGATCCGTGATATGGTCCTCAAGTACATCAGCAAGCCCAACGCAATCATCCTAGCAGTCACTTCGGCCAACCAGGATCTTGCCAACTCCGATGGTCTGAAGTTGGCGCGTGAGGTGGACCCAGAAGGTCAGCGCACCATTGGTGTGTTGAGTAAGGTCGATCTGATGGACGATGGAACCGATGTGGTGGATATTCTCGCTGGACGAATTATCCCTCTGCGCCTGGGTTACGTTCCAGTGGTCAACCGTGGCCAGCGTGACATTGAGAACAAGAAACTCATTGCCCAAGCCCTAGAGAACGAGAAGAACTTCTTCGAGAACCACAAGGCATACCGGAATAAGGCATCCTACTGCGGTACTCCATATCTGGCACGGAAGCTCAACTTGGTACGGATTGACCCCAACTTGTCTCGTCAACTTGTGAACTAACGGACCTTCTCTTTTTAGATCCTTATGATGCACATCAAGCAAACCCTACCCGATATCAAGGGCCGCATTTCCACCTCCCTCCAGAAATACACCGCAGAGCTAGGGCAACTAGGTGACTCTATGCTCGGCAACAGCGCCAACATCATCCTGAACATCATCACCGAATTCAGCAACGAGTACCGTACAGTCTTGGAGGGAAATAACCAGGAGTTGTCCAGCATTGAACTGTCTGGTGGTGCTCGTATTTCCTTTGTGTTCCACGAACTCTATTCGAACGGTGTCAAGGCTGTTGATCCGTTCGACCTCGTGAAGGACATTGACATCCGCACAATACTTTACAACTCATCCGGTTCCTCTCCCGCACTATTCGTTGGCACCACCGCCTTCGAGTTGATCGTCAAGCAACAGATCAAACGACTGGAAGAGCCCAGCTTGAAGTGTATCTCGCTTGTTTACGACGAGTTGGTGCGCATCCTGAGCCAGCTTCTGACCAAGCAGCTGTTCCGCCGCTACCCCATGCTGAAGGAGAAGTTCCATGCTGTCGTCATTTCCTTCTTCAAGAAGTGCCTTGAGCCCACCAATAAGTTGGTCAAGGACTTGATCAACATGGAATCCACCTACGTGAACACCGGCCACCCCGATTTCCTGAACGGACACCGCGCCATGACTCTTGTCAACGAGCGCCAAGCGGCCGCTAAGCCTACACAGGTCGACCCCAAGACTGGCAAGCCTCTTCTCCCAGCCCGTGCCCAGAGTCCCTCGCTCGACACCACCGGTGAGGCTTCCAACAACAGTGGGTTCTTCGGCAGCTTCTGGGCTTCTAAAAACAAGAAGAAGATGGCTCTCATGGAGGCTCCTCCCCCAACTCTTAAGGCTTCAGCCAGCTTGTCTGAGCGTGAGGCCACCGAAGTTGAGGTTATCAGTGAGTTAAACCAGATCATACAAATTCCTTGTGGCACTTCACTAACACTCGCGCAGAACTCCTGATCACCTCCTACTTCAACATTGTCAAGCGCACAATGATTGACATGGTCCCCAAGGCGGTCATGTACACCCTGGTCCAGTATGTCCCCCTCATACCAAACTCCCACCCCAACACTCGAGTCCACTAACAGATGATTTCCCTAGATTCACCAAAGATGAAATGCAACGCGAACTCCTGGAGAACATGTACCGCACCAATGAGCTCGACGAACTCCTTAAGGAGAGCGATTACACGACCCGCCGACGAAAGGAATGCCAACAGATGGTCGAGAGCCTGGGTCGCGCCAGTGAGATCGTCAGCCAAGTCCAGTGATGAAATAGTGGACTTGGTCACCAGACGATTTATCCACAGAGGAAAAAATAGCCCCATGGACCGCTGCGTTGGCGGAGTTGGGCTCCTCGCATCTCTTTGTGATTTTTGCAACACGCTCCGAATATCTTGACTATACTCCGTACTTGCTTTGCTGTTCGTACCATCCGTTGGTTAGCGACTTGTTCTGTTGGTCCCTTATTTAGATGTTGATCTGGGTGGTTCGGGTTCGGGGTTCAAATTTCGGATTTGCGTCCTTGGTGATCGTCTTTGGTTTCGATGAGAGGGGGAGTTCTTTGCTTCGTCCTGCTACGTGTTTTCATTTGTTTTTTTTTTTCCCAATTTGAGAGCTCTATACCGTTTTCCTTTCTCTCATTGCTTGGTCTGTTGTCTGTGTTCGCGGACTTCCTGCCTTGGACGCCCGGATGATTGTATCAATTAATGATTCTGTCTCTGCTTTATGACTCAGCTTAGAATTCCCATTTAACTTTACAATTTGTTTCCCGGTCATTTCCGGTGTAAATCAGATGGTGGCTGCGATATATGTAGGGGACGGATTTGAAGTAGAACTTTAATTTGAAAACATACCTCAAAACATACCTCAAAAGAAAAAGTCTCAGGAGAGCAAGACGATGGGACTACTTTCTATATATTAGACAAGGTGAAAGTTATTATGAAGATGATGATGTCCTTCATATTTTACTTCTGCAGGTTTGATGTGGCAGAAGTGCACTAAATACATAAAGCTGGAAAGTACCTCAGTACTTCCAGTAAGTACAAAACAAATTGAGCCAACCTCCCAAGCAAATGTCGACAGTCACACGGACGGACCTTGATGATGTCCATGGAAACAAAGTTCGAGCTGAGATTTGGAAACTCAGCTAAGTCGGTGCAAGGTGTAAGTGTTGGATGCAAATGAAATCCCAAACCATCCCAAAGACATCAAACCCAACTTCATTCGTACATTCCCATCCCCATCCTCCTCCCATATTCTCCATTTCATTCCCTTTTCATTCCCATGTCCATCCTTCCAAGCCCAATGTGGCGCTGTGAGATGCGAGAGTTGTGAAGTCAAGTCCATGCTGGATCGGGTTGTCTTTCGAGGTGACGTGCTTCCATTCAATGATTCCATGACCGTCTGCCAGTGGTCTCTTCAGGGGTGTGGATGATGCTTGGACTTGTTGCCTTTTCGCCTTGGGATTTTGTTGTTTCTTTTTGTGTGTGTGTGTGTGTGTGTGTGTGTGTGTGAGTGGGTGGGTGTTTCTTTTTTTCTTTTTTGCTTTTTTTTTTGGCGTTTGTGGGTTGTGGCAGTCCTGTTGCATGCTTGTGATTTTGGTGTGTGTCTTAAGATTGGAATTGTCAGTCTCATTGTCTTTGTTCGGGAAACTGTTTTGAAGTCTTACCATATTATGAGTTTTGTCACGACGAATTTGTGTTGAAACCACCGTCTCATCTGCATGAGGAAAGATAGAAGGCAGAGAGACATTGCATTTGATGAATTGGTGAGGCCTCGAGGTTGTCAAAAGGTTGTGGTTGGTCATGAGTAGCTTGGTCAGAAGAGCTCGATGATTGGTGCCCCATGTTTCAGTGTGCCAACCCAGTCCAGTGGGAAGTATTCAGCAGTCAAGTGTAAAGGTTGATATTGATCGTGGTCATGTTGACGAAAGTGACGAGTGTTCGGGGTTGATGTCGGGTGGGATCGTTGGCACCGTTTCGTGGAGAGTTGATGTGGTCTTGGGTGTTTGGAGCTGATGTGACCCAAAGCCAGGGGGTGGGGGGTGCGCTGAGAGATTGGCGGTTGTCAAATGTTGAGAAATGACTCGGAGTGTGTGCTGAAATTTAGGTTCTGCAATCCTGAGAGGTCACTCTTGCCAGCCTTCACCATCATGTAACTCACGTGGGCAGCATTGATATACCATTGTCGACTCGCGGTGGGCAGCATTGATATACCAGAATCAACTTGCAGTGGACGGCACTGATATACATAAATCACTCGCAGTGGACGGCCCTGATATACCAGAATCAACGTACAGTCCCAAGTGAAGTAGGAACAGTGCACTCCCTGAGCATACAACCCAACACACCGCCTGTTGGTGTTATGAAGTATGGTATCAGGGAGTGATGTTCCTAGTCCACTCGTGACCGTCGAGGATGATGGTTCTTCATTGCTGTCACAGTCCCAGGTACTAGAAACATGGATCCCCTGATCATATATCCCAGACACACCGCCTGTTGGTGCCGGGGAAGTATGGTGTCAGAAAGATGTATTTCTAGCGGTCTCGTGGTGACTGTCGAGGATGATGTTCTTCAGCGCAGTCACGGTCTCAAGTACTAGAAACAGGGATCCCCTGATCATACAACCCAACACACCGCCTGTTGGTGCTGAGAAGTATGGTGTCAAAAGGATGTATTTCTAGCGCACTTGCTGGCCGTCAAGGATAATGGTTCTTCATGCTGCCACAGTCCCAGGTACTAGAAACATGAATCGACTGATCATATATCCCAGACACACCGCCTGTTGGTACCGGGGAAGTATGGTGTCAGAAGAATGTATTTCCAGCGGTCCGTGGTGACTGTCGAGGATAATGGTTCTTCATGCTTCCGCAGTGCCAAGTACCAGAAACAGGGACCGCCTGATCATATGTCCCAGACACACCGCCTGTTGGTGCCGGGGAAGTATGGTGTCAGAGGATGTATTCCTGGCTCGCTTGGCTACTGTCGAGTAAGGTGGTAAGGGGCCGGGGAGGTGCTCTGCAAAATCGCAGCAGGTTGGTGGGTTTCCGAACTGGACTGGGTGGTGGGATGCAATGACCGCGTGAGATATGGGATTCTTTTCAAAGGGTGGACTGGATTGAGCAGGAATTTGTTCGAATTTTTGAGGATCTCGTGGGTTGATAGTGGTGACTGGTGACTGTTAGCTTTGACAAAAGGGAAACACAAGTTGAGGAACAAACCATTGTGTCATTGCATCCCTCTTGATTCAGGGTGAATCATGAGCTCTGCTGGCTGGGCCATGGTGGAATTGGAAGGTGTCGAAAGACTCCAGTAGAGAGTCATCAGGGAACTGTGCTTTTGGAAGTCAGCCTTGAAGCCCCTGAGATGATGTTTGTGATCTCACCAAATCTCGTTTTCTTGCCATCGTCGAAAGCAACCAATTCTCCATCCCTTCTCCTTTTCCCTCCCTTCTCCTTTTCACTTCCCATTCTTTCATTTCCCTCTCGTTCTTCCATTCACTCCAGATCCGTCGTTTCCTTTTTTGTCCTTTTTATGTTTGTTCCTTCTCTTTCATTTGTTTCCTTATTTTGTTGTGTTGTGTTCGCTTTTGCGTGGGGTTCGATGTGTGGTTGATGTTGGTTGATGTTGGTTGATGTTGGTTGATGTTGGTTGATGTTGGTTGATGTTGGTTGATGTTGGTTGATGTTGGTTGATGTTCAGTCAGTCGTCAGAGGCGGGCATTATTCACAGGCAAAGGGTGTTTGATGCACAGAGGTATGTTGTCAATGGTGGCGAGACCAATCGATGACCTTGGGCTGGAGATCTTGCAGTGGCAGCCAGGAGGCATGTGCCGATGGAGGTGTGGGGAAAGCCCAAATCGGTTGTTGTGGGCATGAAAGCAGAGGCCAAACTTTAAGAAGCTGGCGTGGATGACTGATAAGAAAGTTTTCTTTAGCAACTCAAATAATGAAGTGGGTGTGGAGAAGACATACAGTTATCATATGTCACATCCATGAGAAAGGTGGCCTCACAGGGTCGTTGTGGCCATTCAAAGACGCGGAGGTAGTGTGTATTGGATGTAAAATGTGTCGGTCATGCCCAAAAGGTCGAGGTGGAGGCAGACACAGGCAAGAGGATGCAAGGCAGGCAGGTCGCAAACGATGAGAGATGAGATTCCTGTAACAGAGACACCAAGGTGAACCTGCGTCAGCCATGGGACCAGGTTGGTAAGATCTTCCACTCGTCATCGCAGAGCAGAAGGAACAGAGAGGTGGGAGGGTTCTGATGCTGGAGTTCTTACCTGGATAACTGCAAACTGCAATCCGGGTTGCTGTTCGTTATGCTGGGATGGAAGCAGCAACATGCAAATGAAATGCCATTGGTGTAAAGAGGCTATGTCAACCCGCGTCAGCCACGGACCAGGTTGGTAAGATCTTCCACTCGTCATCGCAGAGCAGAAGGAACAGAGAGGTGGGAGGGTTCTGATGCTGGAGTTCTTACCTGGATAACTGCAAGCTGCAATCCGGGTTGCTGCTCGTTGTGCTGGGATGGATGGAAGTAGTAACATGCAAATGAATTGATGTAAAGAGGCTGTGTCAACCCGCGTCAGCCACGGACCAGGTTGGTAAGATCTTCCACTCGTCATCGCAGAGCAGAAGGAACAGAGAGGTGGGAGGGTTCTGATGCTGGAGTTCTTACCTGGGTAACTGCAAACTGCAATCCGGGTTGCTGCTCGTTGTGCTGGGATGGAAGCAGCAACATGCAAATGAAATGCCATTGAGGTAAAGAGGCCGTGTCAAACAGGGTGTTGTTTTCCTTTCATATCTGTTGTTGTTAGTACCAAGCAATCATGGAAGCACACGATGTCTTGGAACATAATCGAAAGGGTAAAGAGGTGACAGCATGTTGAAGAAGTACTGGATGGTTGAAGTGGATGACGGGCGAGGGGAATAAAAGAAGATACTCACAGTGTACAGCATAGATGCAAGATGAAAAGTCAAAGTGGTGAAGTCCACATGGTGTGGGGTCTGAGAGAAGTGCATGTTAGTAACTGATGGGTGATGGCAGGTGGTGATGGGTGGTGGCAGGTAGTGATGGGTAGTGATGGGTGGTGATAGGTGATGGTAGGTAGTGATGGGCGGTGATGGGTGATGGCAGGTGGTGACAGGTAGTAGGTAGACTTACCAGAGTGGACATGATGGACCACGTGGGTGTGGGGTGTTGACGTGACAGACATGACATGTCGCGACGACGCAGTCAGAGATGGTAACAGTGCCCATTTCCAATGGATCTTGATGGGTGATATGATGGAGAGTGGGAAGGGATGGACAAGGTATTGATGACACCCAAGCTGATGATGGAGTGTACTTTGGGATGATGAAAGATGTGATGGAAGGTGGGATTTGATGAAATGAGAGATGAAGAAGAATGGGGAGAAGAAGAATGGGGAGATGAAGAAGGAAGAAAAAAAGAAAGGAGGAAGTGGGGGGAGGGGGGTTTATATAGGTAGGGTATCTACCATTTAGGAAGGTGGCCTGCCTGTTTAGGAAGGAACAATGGGAGACAACCTCACCCAATTGTTCATTGTCATGTCAAGTGATACTCTCTACATGTTACGTTTTAGGAAGGTCGCCTGCCTACTTGGGAAGAAACAATGGGAGACAATAGGACCCACCTCATCCTATTGTTCATTGTCACGTCAAGTGATACCCTCTACATGTTAACATAAGATAATCGCGCGGATTTGCTTAGCTACATACAAAGCCACCCTTGTAAAAAGAATGAACAACTGTAGCTTGTGAAACTTGTGAAGCAGGACACCAGATAAACCAAAGTGAAAGCGAAGTGGAAGTGATCTCTAGTCAGAATTGAAGCTGTCACCATCATCATGTACTATGATAGTTATATCTCATACCCCAGACCCATTTTTACGGTGTCTCCAAGGACTCAATCCCCTATATCATTATCTACATAAACCATTGAGACCCCAGGATTCCAAATGTACAGAGGCTACCAATGAATATACGAGACACCATCCTGCTTACAGGCCAAATACAAGAAGATTACACCGGAAGAAAGTTGTACGAACTTCGAACTAAGCGACTGTTCAAGTACATTTATTCTGATATGCGACACGATGTCCCTACGCCAGTTAGGGAGCATATAGCTCAGGTCTCCACAGAGATACCACACCTAAACCCATCAGAGATGAGTATTGATGAAACCACCTGCGTTTTTGGACTGAAGAAATCAGTCCGCGGTTATCAGCTTTGGCAATTTCCAAAGGTTGAGGTCAACCTCCCGGAAAGCTTGTGTGAGTGGATTCACCCGTTATACAGCCTTTTTTTGAGATAGATCACCTAGCTTGTCATGTTGTGATGATTGAAGCAAAGCAAATTGATGGCAAAGGCCACGGCTAACTTATATGTCTATGATATAGGCAAATCGCAAGAAACGTGGGTAGTCCGATTGGACTATATATGGAGTCCTCAGCGATGGAGAGACCTTCGCATTCTATGATTTGGATATGAATTGTCCAGTATACGGTTGTCTGTCATAGGGTTGAAGATAAGCTTTTGACGCTAGACTGTGTCTGGAATAGCGTATCCGCCCGTTATGTACCTAAGCTCCCGAGGTCTCACTGGTAGCATAGGTACATGTACGCATCTCATATCCTTGGTGTTGACATTGTCAAGGCATATTTTCTAGTCGAGTTCCGTGGTATTACTCGATTATGTGTTTCCTACCCCTGCCATCTCCTAGTCAAGAGGGCGAGGAGAAAGACACAAAGCAAGAGGCGAGATTGCAGAGCGAAAAGTTCATGAAGGGAAATAGTGTGGCTCAAATTCATATAGTTATAATGGTTGTAAAAGGCATGGAACAACCTGTAGAATAGAGCAATGTCTACTTTCGACCGGTATGCCGATAAACATAGTGCCAATCCTCCTTCTTCAAGTCCTGCCGTACCTTGTAATTCCTCTCAGCGGCTTCAACAACCCCCATATTCACGTCAGCAACGACGAATCCCTCCTCAGTTCCCATCTTAGCAATTGATCCCACAAGAGGGAGTGTAATCTGCGACAGGCCCAAGAAATCCTCCGACGGCCCGGCTGCGTTGGCAAAGACAACGCTACAGGTATTCTCAAAGCAGCGGGATGTAATCGTCGACTCGAGGAATAGGGCTTCACAATCCGGGTTATACACACGGGCTTCGGGGGAGGCATCGTGGGGAGTCCCTGGTAGAAGTTTCAGTTAGATCAGATACCACATCCGCGGGGAGGAGTCCAACATACAGTAGGTAGGCGCAATCACAATCTCCGCGCCGTCGGCGATCAATTCCCGGAATGCCTCGGGGAATGCCAGATCCCAACAGATCAGCATTCCCACGCGACCGATCGGGGTGTCGATTGCCACATGGGGCTCTAGGCCTGAGGAGGTGAGGTGGGGTCGTTCCGGGTGCCAGATGTTCTTTTTGCGGTAAGAGCCGAGCACAGTGCCATCGTTTGAGATAAAGTGAGCCGTGTTGTGGAACAGTGTGGGTTGATCGGACTCTGTGTGCTTTTCGATGATTGTACCCGGTACGATGCAGATTTGCAGTTCCTTGGCTAGGCTTTGGTAGTTTGCTAAATACTTAGCGGATTCGCCGGCTTGAACCGCCCAAAGGGGTTCTGTAGGGACCATGCCGCTGAGGTGGTATCTGGTTGTCTTCAATCAGCAAGTGTCGATTTATTTTGAGAGCTATCGAGTGCCGTTGGACATGTTTCTTACTCTGGAAGAACAACTAGCTCAGCGCCTTGAGCAGCGGCTTCACTGATGTAGGCGCATGCTGTCTTATGATTGTACTCGATGTCAAGCTCCTAAAGTAATGTAAGAATGATTGGAATGGGACTACACGTCCTCGGTGGTTCAAAGCTTGGGCACGGCTCAATTCGATCCACCCACCTTGATCTGCCATTGAATGACGGCAATGCGATGCGTAGAGGCCATGATAGGTCGATTGTAAATGTGCGAGCAGCTTATTATGAAGAAGATAAGAAAGAAACATTGGGAATTAATAATTACAATCAATGGTTATCTACCGGTTACCCCAACATGAAGTTGGAGAAATTGGGGTCGATGACTTCAACAATATAACCCCAACCCGACTCCGACTACGTCGCCCTGGCTAAATTCAAGGGAAAAATATCTCTAGTACAACTTTGGAAGAAACCGTTGTTTGATATGGGGGACTTTATACCGTGGCTAACCTCTGCCAATCCTTTGGATCAAGTTCCTAGTGTCAACCCCTAGAAATTCTCACTCGGCAACCTCAACAACCAACTTCGTACAACTCACCCCCTGGAGTAGCACATCCAACCCAGCATTGATAGCCCCCAAACCCTTCCCCACAATTCTCGGCTCCGGACTCGGCCTAACAGTCCGGTTGACCAAGTTCTCCCTCAACCACGTCCCCATCCGATATCGGAAGTGGGCCAACCTCTCCCCTTCGTCCATCGACGGCATCAAAAAGATGGTTTCCACTCCATTTACCTCTTCCGCATCCGGAGGTATAATGGGGGCCGACCCTATCTTCGCCCTCTGGTTCTCTCTGTCTTGATCGTCACCGAAGAAAGCCTTCAACACGGCCTGACAGGACACCAGCTGCCCCGTGGCAAGAAAGCAGTGCCGAATCACTAAGCCATCCTCTCTGGCCGCGGAAACAATCGCATCCACAACCTGCGGTTCGTTGTAATCGAACACACGATCCGCGCCGAGGGAGCCGACGTACTTCTGATTCGCCGCACCGGCCGTGGCGTACACGGCGGCGAAAGAAGAATTGCGATCTTCCCGCAGCAGCCGGGCGCTTTGCACGCCCATTGTGCCCACGCTGGAGGAAGCGCCCCAGATTAGTAGGGCCTCTCTCTTTTGTTTCTTATCTTCCTGAGTTCCGGCGCCATCTGGGGGAACGGAGACGGAAGAAGAAGAAGAAGCAGTGGCTTCTCCCACACGTGGAATCCCCATAGCATCCCACGCGCCAAGGGGCACCTCAACTGCGACGGGCAAAGTTGCCGCTTGGTTCCAAGAAATACCCTCGTCCGGAAGAGGCAGGGCGTGTTGCCAGGGAACGAGGCAACGCTCCTGAAAGACACCATAGTTAGGGTCGTAGGACTTCCAGAATGAGGCGGCGTATGCAGCGACGCGGGTGATTCCCGGTCGGAAAAAGGGTCCCGGGCCCTCATCGGTAGCACCGACGGGGACATTGTCGCCGACTTCGAGTACTAGCCCCGAGAGGTCGAAGCCGGTGACCGTGGGGTAGGTAGGTATGAAAAGACCTTGGTCACGCATGTAGCCGTCCGCCGGGTTAAGGGCTACGGATTTAACCTCGATGAGGAGCTCGTCTGGGCCTGGTTTTGGCGTAGAGCGGGTCTGAAGCTCGAAGGGCTCACCTTTTGCGATAGAGACGGCGGCAAGGTGGGTAGCCATTCTGGACTGTATGTAATGAAAGGCTTTCGAGGTGCGGGATTTTATGTGGATAGAATCTGGTTCTCGGGTGTTCTCCGTAGGATATCGAGCAACATCCTTCTTCTTATACATTAAGCTATCAATCCAAGCTAACTCTTCTTCCAGTGACCCGTCCAACGCGATCTTCCAACCTTGGAAGGTTGCGTTGATTATAGATGAACTTGCAGCCAATCAGAGACTCCTGCATCCGAAGAAGAGCTAGCGTGAACCTTGGAAATGTGGAATATCCGAAAGAGGGTTAGCTTATCGGGTACCTACTTAGTGTCGTTGGGGGAACATGACCACCTCAACTTGCGCTGAATTGCTTCCGAACTCGGGAAAATCCCTCACACCCAAGCTGCGTAAGGCATGGCTTCGAATGGTCAGGCACGGGAGAGTAAAACTCTGCGGAGATCGAGATTTGGCTGCCGAAATTGCAAGCTCCGGAAGCTCAAAGTGAGTGGCCCTCGGCGTTCAATCATGTAATGCTTGGCTGACTGATTCTCCTTGCCCTACTAGTGCGACGAAGGCAAACCACAATGCAAGAGATGTAGCTCTTTCGGGGTGTTATGCAACTTCATGTCTCCCATCCCCGACCTCCAGCCCATCGCCGCTGACGCGCTGCGGCCATTGGTGGTTCGAGGAAGGGTAGAGCTTCAGCCCCCTCTCACAAATGCTATCTGGACATCTGACGCATCGACATCGTATCCACTAAA